ATGTATGTACTAAAAGCTACGTGTTATCATTGAGGTGATATTATCGTTGAGGTGATAGGCCCGTGCGGAGCACGGGCAATTTCATTGAAATTCTGCTACAGCAGCCGTTGGGCCCGAGTAGCGAGACGTTAAAACAATATCATCATCATCGTACTGAAACTCCAGTTCAAGAAACTTGCAGAGTTTGATACAATGCGGTATACAAAGGATGGTATTTTAAAATTCGCATGGAAATTGCACATAGGGTCATCGAGATCGTCATGGTAGTTCACAATCTATCCATTTTTGTCTTCATTCTTTCGTCTAAGCGCTCTGCAACATTTTTGCACATAGAATTCTTCTCTCAAAGATAGTCGAAAAGGTAAAGGAAAGAAACGGTGTGTGAAGGGGGATTATTTCAAAGTTGACTAGTTAGAGGTGAGGCAATCGTATGATTAAAAAATATTTCAAGGTAAGTAACTCAATGTTTCAATCTCTGTAGAACTCAAGATTGTGTTTTGACCTCTACGCCTTTCACATACTTTTTGAAACGCAGGAAAACTATCAAATAGCATAATTTTGTTCAAATTCGATTATATGCGATGTGATCAATATGGACAAATCTGACAAGTGCGACAACATAGACTACAGAAACTACTTCTCGAAGCAAATTTAATACCCCTGACATATCTAGCCTATCAGTTGTATGAGGAAATTATCTGTTTTGCTTTTATACGATGAATAAAACAAATATGCCTATTCGCCACTATATTTTAACGCCACTGATGCAAAAGCATACCAAAACCTTATTTTTACTACATCGTCGGCGCCCACTTACTCTTCGCTCGGATCCTCGCACCATAAACATAGAATAGGATCGGTACGGGTATGAACGCAACACAGATAAAAGCTAGCAGACTGGTTGCCCACGGTACATCCAAGTTTTGATACATGGCATGTGTGAAGAGGGGGAAGAAAGCGCCAGCAAATGATCTGATGAACGTATTGACCGCAATAGCGCTGTTGGAGTAGAATCCGTAGCAGTCGATAAGGTAACTCATACCCTGCCAAAACGGGACCATACAGCCGAATCCGAGCAAGGCGACAGAAAGGACCTGCGGCACCCATGTGATGTTGGGGTTGCTCGTCCAAGCGAACCAGAAGAGGCCAGCAGGAAGAGCAATGGCCCCGATGATCATGGGTGGGAGACGCTCCTCGGGAACTACCTTGCCGTGCTTGCGGTATGCGCGAGTGAAGTTTGTGGCAGAGCTGTAAGCGATGCAGGCTGCACCCATGAGGATTCCGACTATGAAGGCGCCAAAGGGGAGTTGGGAAACGCCGAGGGACCAGCCGCGTTCTTCGTAGAAGGATACGGGGAACTGTGGGTGGAATGTGAGTTTCGTGTAAAATACAGGGTATCAGGTGTAGGGACTTACGGCTTCAAAGAGGAGATAGACTATGCCGTAGAGAAAACTCATGTAGGCTGTTACGAGTGCCAAGATAGGTTCTTGGGCGAACATGATGAACGGTCGTAAAAGGTACACATTCACGACTCGATCGAGAGTCAACTTGTTTGCGTCCGCCGCAGCATGGTACTGCTCGTTGCCTGTTTCTTTGCGTAGTCGCGCAGCGCGTATCTGCAGAATTCTGGCCGCTGACGTCTCTGGGATAACAAAGAAGCCTACGAAGCCAAAGAGACCAGCCATAATAAGCGTGATCCAAGATGTCCATCTCCATCCTAGATGCGATTCAGTAATGAAGCCTCCAGCTATAGGGCCTGCTACGGGTCCTGCAAAGCCTCCAGCTGCAAAAACACAAATAGCATAGGAGCGCGGAATGGGATCCCACAAGTCAGCAAGCGCTCCACCCACGACCGCCAGCGGTGCTGAAGCAAAGAAGCCACCAAGGAAGCGACCGACGCATACAGTCGTAATATTTTGTGCCAAAGCGACGGGAATCTGGAAGATGGCGAAGAGCGCAAAGCCAAACATAAGCGGCATTTTGCGCCCAAGGACTTCAGACATGGGTCCAAATGCGATGGGCCCGAATACAAATCCCTAGCATGAAATTAGCTAGGAGCAAGTGCAGTCAAAATGGTTTGACGCACAAGAACGAAAAGCGCTACACCCAGTGTAGCAGTGACGATCTTGACATTGAACTTTTGCTGTACAACGCCCAGATTCACGCTGAAGATTGAACTGGCAAATGTGACGGTCAACACCATGAGACCCATTGCAATCGTTATTCCCCATCTTCGTTTTGAAGTCCAATTTTTAGGATTGTCTGGATCATTGGGACCGTCAAATTCCACGAGGAACTGGTCTTTCTTTTCTGATGTCGCGGGCGCAATGTCGGTTTGTCCTTTCTCGGGATCTGGAGAGGCGTCATTTTGGCTCTTTTCCCAATCCCCGTCCCCCGGTGATACTTCTTTGTTATCGAGGAGCAGACCGGGCGGTGCTATGGGCGCTGGTGCAGACTCTGTGGTAGTGGTGCGATCGGCCATCGCAACAGGAGAAAGCAAGGACGCCGTGAGGGGGTTTCAACTGCACTGATTTGGAAGCGACAATGAGCTGCCCAGGGTACTTATAGCCGCATCACATGTCGTTTGGTGTATCTGGTTATTCCCGGACTTTGGGTGGACTTAAGCCCTTCCTACACGACGGTTCCTGCCCTCGCTCTCCTACCTTCCCCGAACGCCGGACCTCGCTCGCTCGCTTTACCGAGCCAATTTTTAAGCACCACGCCCGTCGTAAATTGGCGGATCCTAAGATCCATGAGCAATTGACGAAGCATTGCTAAACGTCGAAGGAAATTGCTTCAAGTGGTGAAAGCACACAAAAGACGTCATCGTCTTATCCGTGGTGGCGCCCTTGCAGCTGATTGGCGTGAGATAGTTTAGTAGAGCTACTACTACTCTGAGGAATCTTCAAGAACTCCGCTGTGTAATACCTTTCCTGGGCCTTTGCCTTCAGTAGTAACGAAAGAGTGCTTGTTAGTACAGGTTCGTCGACTGATGACATGACAGCATGGTGCCCCTGTAATTGGCCTTGTAGAACTTGCGCCTGGAGATTAATACGAAGCAAGCCTTTTGCGTCTTCGGCCAAGGAGATTTGCTTTTTCCTGCACAAAAATGATAAAGAACATGTAGTAGTCATCAATAACATCTCAAACGCACGTGCTCCAGTGTCAAATAGGACATATCTTTACATTTTCTACTTAGGGCCTGCGGCTGCAGCTACCAGGTCTCAGGACCTGCATAGAAGTATGGAATATATCAGCTTTTCAAAATCATTGCAATAGGCTGTTCAAGGCTACCACGTGATGCGCTCTCAAGCACTCGTTGACTACTAATTACATTCCGCCAAGCAGCTAACACCAACTTACACTGCACTCCTCCTTAGTTCCACCCGATCCAACTCTTACTCATAACACGCCAAACTCGTACCTCCCCAGATCTCAAATCACCCATCCTAAAGCTCTCAGGCTTAACTTTCTTGTGCTCACGTCCTTGTTCCCACGCTCGCACCTTTTTCTTACTACCATCCCATTCCAACACTACACCCACGTGATCGGGCTTTCCAACGTCCATGCTGTATTTGCCATGCATGGGTCCAACCTTGCCTTGAAATTTAGCGTTGCGGAAGCTGATTATGTCACCGGGGCGTATCTCGTCAAAAGATAGCGTCGATGCATTGGCCAGGTTGGCATAAACCAGCGCACCATATGAGCGGGTTGAGACGGGTGGAAGGGCGTCACCAAAAGGCTTGAGCAATTCTTCAATAAGGACGTAAGGCGAACCATTCCCGACGACTGTGTTCTGCTTAGATTCGATAGCCTTGGCAATCTGTCGGCCAAACTGCTCGTAAGCATTTTCTAGCTGATCCGGACGTAGACGGGGAGGAGGTGGTTCCTTGTGCTGTTCAAGTTCAACATCAGAGACATTATTGGCCTCGAAGCGAGCGGAGATGATTGTTTGCGAGTAGTCAAGGTAGAGGACCTTGATCAACTTCTCCACAGTGTTGCCAGACTGCGACTCTTTCCGATCTATCATGACATCCTTGCGGCCCTGCAGCGATGGAGGAAGCAGGTTAGGTTGAGTCCACCAATGGGAAGTAGCTCCGAGGTCAAGTTCTTCGGCGATAAAGTCCTGATGTTGCATTGGACCCGAACGAAGCTGATCCATAGACTGTCGTGTAGCCATCATATGACTCGCGTCAAACGACTTCCGGTTCGGCAATGGTCGAGACTGTGCGTCCGTAGGCGCCATCTGGGGGGATTGAAACTCTTTTGGTTGAGGAGGTGGCGGGGGTGGAACAGCTCTTTCTTGAGGCGGAAAAGGTGGTGCTTGTTGGTGGGGAAGAGGTGGAGGAGCATGCTGGTGTGGTGGAGCATGGGGTGGTGGAGGTGGTGGCCGATCATGAGATTTTCGGGGTGGAGGTGAAGAGTACAGGTCGTCTTCTTCCTCAGACTCAGCTGGTTGATTAGGCATGGAAGGAGGAACAGATGGCGGCATGAGTGGTGGAGGACGACTCTGTGGAGGGAATGGTTGACCTGGTGGAGGCGGCGGTGGAACTCCTCTAGGTGCAGGCGATGCAGCGAGTGAAGGAGGGCCATTGTACTTGAAGGGGTCATACTCATCCTCCTCCTCCACTGGTTGAGCACTACGATTCGGTGGCGGTCCAGGTGGTAGCAGAGGAGCACGAGGAGCGTCTAATGATGATCGAGGCGGCTGTTGGGGCGGAGGGGGCGGCACCGCACGATTGACAGGAGGTACAGGTGGCATACCCTGAGGTATTAACGGCGATCGCCCTGGCGTAGGCTCGTCTGATATGATGTCCTCTTCGACACTTGAGCTTTTAGCATGTGACTTCAAAGCATCCTTGTGCGTTGCCTCGGGAGCCATGTCTGTATCATAGTCGCCCTCATAATCCGTCTCTCCCTCAGTGCGATCTATTTTTCTTTGGAGGGGATCCCCATGGCGGGAAGGGGGCGCTGAAGTTGGCGGCGGTGGCGGCGGTGGTCGGCTTGCTGTTGAAGGCGGAGGGCCTGTTGGAGGAAGTGGTGGCGCACGTCTCTCGGAGGAATCATTCTGCTGCTCGCCAGTTGCAAAGTAGGAGACTCGCTTTGAAGATGGCGACTGGACAGAAGCGGATGGCGTGTTAGCCGCATCTGTCAACTCGTCACCAGACTCAGAGCCAGGCCCTGGGGACATGACCTGTGGCGGTGGTGGCGGCGGAATAGGGCGAGCTACAGATTGTTAAAATGAGTCTAGATTTTGTAGCAATATGGCTTACATGCTGATGGAACTGGTGGAGGAGCAGGCCGTTCTACGGAGAGTTAGATTTGCAGCAGAGGGTTTGGTATAGATACAGAGCTCAATGTACACACATACTAGACACGCATACAGTCATGACATATTCCGAAACACCGTCACTAGTAACATACGTCTTTGACAGTGTTTCGGGAAACGGCAGCTGAAGGTAGTCTTTGCTATGATGTACGAAGGCTGGGATCGGTTTGCGAGGAATCAACAACTTACTGTCTGACGGAACAGGCGGGGGTTGATCGCCTGTGGGTGTGGGCTGGGAAACGACATCTTCGACGTCAGGTACCTCATCTGCTGCATGGGAGCTCGTGACTGTCTGTGGAGCCTCTTCTTCCTTTTCTACAGAAAGCGAGCGGTCATCGTGATCCTTACTCTGGGCCTGTGGCAATGGGGGGATGCGGAACATGGGCACCGGCTGCTGAGGAGATGTGTATCCCTCTGATTCTTCTGCCTTTTTTTCCGTGATTGGCTTCTTTTTGGCAGGTTTGGGGGGCTTTGGAGGAAGAGCTCCCATGGGCATACCGCCAAACATACCAGGCATGCCCATGCCACCGCTCATCTTGGCCATACGTTGGCGTAGCTCCAACTTGCGTCTCGTTTCAGCATCCATCTCGTCTTCCTCTTCCTCCTCGTCTTCTTCGACAGCATCTTGCTCGTCACCAACATCGGGCTGTTGCGCCGGCGCATCAGCAGCTCTGGGCGCTGGTGGAGGTGCGTGCCTGCTTTTCGGTCGGTCCTCGTCGTCTTCGACGCTCGTAGACTCAGCCCCAGCATCCTCCGTATCGCCAGCGCCTGATTGATCGGCGTCGTTCTCACTGACGAGCTCGCGATTGCGAGCCTGTGCATCGGGCGACTTGACGTCTTGTGATGTGCGAGGACGGGCCTGGTCTACTGAGGCACGAGGCTTAGAGGTTCCGCTTCCGACCCGTTCCAAGCCGGTGTCTTCGCTATCATCCGCCTGGGACTCTTGCGGCTCGATTCTCTTCACCGGCGGTGGCCGCTTGGGCTTTTCCTTGAGCATTGCAGCGGCCCTTTCCGCCTGTTCTTGCTGCTGTTTCTGGAGAAGGGCAATTCTTTCCTTCAAGCTGACCTTGGGCTGTTGCTCTTCCTCGCCCTCGTTTGAATTTGAAGCATTGTGGCCAACAAGTCCAGCGCGCTCAGCATCTTCGCGGTCCCGTGCCTGGCGCTCTGCGATCTCTGGATCTTCTTCACGGCGGTACGTCTTGATTGGTGGGGCTTCGCGAGCAGGAGGAACGTATGCATTGCGACTCGGCGGAGGAGCGACAAAAGGCTTCTTAATGAAGTTGGTGGGTGCACCGCCAGATGGCTTGAATGGCTGGATTGGGGCAGCAGCTGGAGCATTGAAGGCAGCGATGCGGTCCCGGAAGGCATTGGACTTTGCCGCAATAGGCGGTGGGGCCTTTTTGGCGGGAGCAGCAGGTTTCGACGTTTCAGAGTGCGATTGAGGAAGCTCTGGGGCTCTTGCACTGGATGCAGAGGGAGGCGACATGGGCGACATTGGCAGAGGAGTGTTTTTGGCGATAGCGGGGACCTCTACCGGAGGCAGCTGGGGCTTGGGCGGCTCAGGCTCAGGCTCTTCGGGTTGAGCTGGCTCAGGCTCTCGCTGAGGCAGCTGGGGCGTGCGGGGGGCTTCCTGTGCGGCCGGTGGCTCCAATGGCTTGTAACGTGAGGCCCGGTTGGGGCGTGGCGGCGGCTCTGGCTCGTAGCGCTCGACGAAATTGCGGGGGAAGAGGCCATCGTGCTTGGTGCCGCCATTGTCTGTGTATTCGCCGACATACCAGTCGGCACCCTCCTCCTCGGTGACGGTGATGACCTGGCCGACCTTGAAGTCGAGGTCGTCCTCGTGGGGAGATGAGTAGTCGTACACGGCCTTGACCTTGTACATGGCGGCAAGCTGTGGTGGAGCAGCAGCTGATGGAAGGGCTCGGGCAGTTGTAGGAGGGCTCGCTAGGCTACTGTGACAGCTGCGGACCCTGCCACGGGGGGAGGCGAGAAAAAAAGAGCTTCAGCAGGATTGGGAGGAGGAGGAGCAGCAGAAGCTGGAGGGAGGAGGTCTAAGGCGAGTGCACGGGGCGGGTCGTCTTGGTGTAGCTACAATGGCGCGGGTGTCAGGCAGCGAAGGACAGCGGGAGGCGCGGAAGAACAAGGGCAGCGTACCATTCAGCGTGGGTAGCCATACAGTAGTGAGGCGAGAGGCGAGAGGGAGAGCGAGGGGGGGCAATGAATGGGGGCAATGATGGGGGCGGCGGCCGGCAGGAGCCTCGTGGGGACAGACGGACAGTGTGGTGACAGACGGACAGTGTGGTGACGAAGCTCAAAACAGCCCCGCGCGCTGCCCGACGCCCAGCTTGGCAGTTGGCCGCGACGCTCCACTTGGACTGATGTATCTCCTAGCACCCGCCGATCCTGCGTACCATCACCGCTCCGACTGCTGCTGTTGCTCCTGCTTCTGCCATCACCACCGAGTGGACTGGACTGGACTGGACATGCCCCCCAAGTCCATCCTCAAGAAGACGCCGGCCGTGGCTGCCAATGCCCCTCCCACGACCACGACCACGACCACGACCACCGCCACCACCAAAGCAGTCAACCCGCGCCATCTCGCAGTCGCCCGCCACCATGCCTCCGTGCTCGAAGACCGCAAGCGCGTCGAGGCAGAGGTCTTGCAGGCCGTCATGACGCTGATGGATTTCCCTTCGTCGCCAGACGCTGATGCAAAGCGGCCCACGCCCGCGGACGCCCGCTTCTTCCAGACGGCAATCATTCCCTTCCAGCCCGCCGACTACGATGCCCTGATCGAGGAGCGCAACATTGCCGACAAGTGCGGCTATGCCCTGTGCCCCCGCCCCAAGAGCAAGGCCCGCTCAACCGCCAAGAAGCAGTTTGTCGACACAGAGGATGGCGTGCAGATTGTCGACCGCAAGGTGCTCGAGGTGTGGTGCTCCGATGACTGCGCGCGCCGGGCCCTCTACGTCAAAGTCCAGCTGAGCGAGGAACCCGCCTGGCTGCGGCACGGCGGGTACGGCGACAAGATTGAACTCATGGTGGAAAACGAAGAGGAGCACCGTGTTACCCTGCCCCTGCGGCCGAAGCAGCCAGCCGCCTCCACCAAGGACCAGGATGAAGACGACGATGTGGATGCAGCCTGGGCCGCCCGTGAAGATGCCATGGCCGACCTGGCTCTTGAGCGAGGAGAAAAGCCGGGCCAGGTTACCAAGGCGAACAGCGACCTCGTACAAGACCAGATCCTCGAGCGGCCTCTGAACAATGCGCCCCCGCAACCGCCCTCGCTTCCCACACAGACATCTGACCACACCATGGCCATTGAAGGCCACGTTCCGCGCATCAACAGAAAAGACAAAGATGACGATGAAGATGAAGATGACCCACAGGATTGGGAGAAGCACCTACCAGGATGATGAAACGACCTAATCGCCTGGTGTTTTTTTTCTCGCCCCCAGCCATAAACAAACTAGCACTAGGCTTCAATGCCAGTGCTACAGCCGCGTGCTTGATCTTTGCCACTAGCCATTGACCCACAAAACAGCATACCATGGATACATGTCCCATCGCTGCCCATAACAGTAGATATTGTGAATATGCATATTGCTTAGAGAATGCGTGGTGACGACAGACTTGTCACTTCGATACAATCATAACATGACTATGCTAGCAGTACAAGTCGCACAAGGCTTTATTGAGAAGGAATTCAAGTAGTAGAGGAGGTTATTTTCATCTGAGTATCACAAAATAACAATGGATAGAAATAGCACAACATAAACCTATCATCCGTGCGAGTAGTGAATGCGAAGCCATTGCCAACTCGACCATGCACACGAATCCAGCAGAAGCCGCGGAGGTGCGCACGGACCGCATCACCGCAAATCCAACTCAACATTTGCTCGCAATCACCAATGACACCACTTCAGCCGCCATTGAACGCCAACCCGCGGCTGTCGCATCGCCAATATGGCTCTAAGTCGCCAGTCCCTTTCGCCAACCTCCCATCTGCTGCGCAACTCCCGACTCTTCTCTCTGCCCAACCCTCTCCCACGCCCGCCTGTTAGCGAGACCTTTGGCGCGGGCATCACAAAGGCATCGGACACGGCAACCCTGCCATACCCGACACACCAGGCCATTGCTACCACAAAGGCCTCACTTGCACGCGGTGATTGGGGTCTGAAACGAGCAATTCCCTCGCGGAGTCATCTTGTCCAAGTTAGTGACCCGGTTCTGAGAGTGACGCAGCTGGATACCATTGAGCATGTCACCGACTTTGACTCGGCAGCCGACCATGTGCGGACAAGGCAGAAATGGGAAGAGATGGGAATTCCCATGATGAAGGGCATGACGCAGATGCGTGACCACGACTTGAGCGTAGCGCCGCCTGCAGGAGCATTTGAGGTCCGCGATGACACTACCAACTACGACACTGACATGGGATTGGATGAGGCTGGTCTATATCTGAAGGCGCTCAAGAAGAGCATGCCCGCAGAGAGAGCAAAGGCTGAATGGGAAGCTTTCAATGCTGCCTGGGAAGAGAAGTGGGAGTTGCAGCAGGCACTCTGGAAGGCTCGTGGTTGGGGCATTGACCTTGCCGATTTCGAGGCTTTCCAGCAAGAAGCGAACAAGGCAAGAAGGCAGGCTCAAATCTCACAAAAACTTGCAAGGGAGGCAGAACTCAAGGCTTTCCGTGAGTCTCTTAGTGCCAAGTGGGCAGCAAAGAAGGCAGAATGGCAATCGCGCGGCCTCACCAACTCCGAGCGAGCAGCTGAGACTAATGCTCTGGTCGAGGAGAATCGTACAGCTAAACACGAATTCCGGCAGAAATGGGAAGAGAAGAAGGCCTCTCTCGCTGCTGTCAAAGCCCCGGCTTCTATGCCCTGGCTGGATGAGTTCACAGAATTTGAACAAGAGCAGCAGAAGGCAAAGAAGTCACTCAAACAAAAATTGGCGGGATCGAAACAACCTGGATCCACGCCTTTCACTCCATTTAGTCCACCTCCTGTAGACCCCATCGTACACAACACCAAGCGGTGGAAGCATGACGGTCCGTGGCTACCAGGCATGGGAGCTGACGACTTTGTCGCCTATATCAGTAAGGAAATCACTTCTCGCAAAAAAGAATTCAACAATTATCTTGTTGAATTTGTGAAGAACGAGATCTACACGTCCCGCCGTCTCGCCGCCACAAAGTCGAACGAACAACCACCAATGGACATTCAGGAAGCCGAAGAATGGCAAGAGCGACAAGAAAAATCCTGGCGTCATATTACACGCAACGACATTGACACTGGTATCAAGGCTCTCCGTAAAGAAACAGCCAACAATCCGTTGGGGAGCAAACTGGTCAGCAAACTCATCCTCCCTTTCCTGAAGCTGCCGGCCATCAAGTTCAAGCCCAAGGCATGGGCGTCGGACGCATCGAGCCGCGACATTGACCAATACTCGTTTGATCAAGAGACGGCACCACTCTCGACGCATCCCAGCGCCGGTCTCGGCTACCTGCGCACAAAATCCTACATGGCCAACCACCCAATCCTCGGCCCGCAAGCCAGCCACGCTCCCGTGCCTGCGCGCGTCGTGCAGGCCCGGCGCACAGGAACCAAGAACGAAATGTATGCGCGCCTGGGCGTCGGCGGCTTCGTCGCAAACGACCAGTTCAAGAGCGCAGAGACCATGTCAGCGTCGCGCGCCAACATCATGGGCGCAAAGGACGTCGAGACAATTGACATTGACACGCCTGGTGGGCGCAAAATCCCCGTGCAACCCCTCTTTGGCAGCGTCACCAACGACGGGCGAATCCACATCAAGCTCAAGCGGTCGATAGGACCCGAAGTCGCCGTCGCTCGGGGTGAGCTCGACGATCGCCCCCCGGTGCGCGACCATGTGGACGAGGATCCGCTGCGGAGCCTGGGAGCGGGCATGGGCAAGAGCGGCATTCGAGAGCTGGATGAGCAGAGCGGTGAGGCGCAAAGATTCAGCCAGTTTCTCGAGAGCATGACACCACAGGGCAAGGCGACTCCCCCGCCGGGTTTCCCGGGCGTGGCAGATGCGCTGAGGAGCGACTAGAAAAGACACCTATTTTGGGCATATGCATGTGAATTGGAGTCTTTTTTTTTCCTCCCTCGCTTCGTTGCTGGAAACTCATCATCTGTAACAGTATATTATTGTATTCATGACATGACTTCATTCTTGTTATCGCTATCATCCAATGGTGTTGTCGGCCCGGAATTCGTACAAATGCCTGGTCGTGCATGGTCCCCATTGTTTTTTCGCTCCCCGCTCAGTGGAACTTTTTTTTGATGTCGGCATCTACTAGCAATAGTGGGAATTCCACACACCTTCTTCATGCAAAGTCTGGGGTGGCACGTGAACCATGGCCAATATTTGCTGCCGGATGTCTTCAGAAGACCAACACATGACCTTTACAACCCGCATGCGACCAGTCAGATCAAAAGCAAGCCACCAACCACGACTTGGAGAATCAAAGCATGCATGGCATGAGTAGTGTTTGCATGCAGTGTGTTGCCTACAATCTAAGACATTTGCTAGGCATCACTATTGGTTTCAAGGCATTTTGAAGAAGAGCGTGATGCAAGGATGCAGTCCATGGTCGGAGGCCGATGGGGGAAGGGGGCCAAGAGCAATGGCACTTGCAGTGGAGAAAGGTGAGCAGTAGTGACAAGGCTACAAGTGTGCTTGCCTTGACCTGAGGCAGTAACATGGTGGTTGTTGGTCCAAGCGACAGGTAAACTGGCGGTAGGGTTGGTTCGTATAGTAGCGACAAACCATGAGGGTGCTTGTGGGGTAAATCTACCACACCAAGTGACATTTTACACAGTAGACGCGGCCTGTTGGGCCGAGGAAGTTCCGCGAGGCAACCATGTCTCGGACGACTGTAAAGGTGGCTGTTTGGGAAGCATGCTAGCCGTACCGATTAGTACGCACACCAAGTGTGGAAATACAGGTTGCGACGCCGACTTTGGGCAAACAAGGACCAATCCCTTGATCAAGTAAAACATTTCAGCTACAATGGTGCCCCCCGTCGCAAAGCTTGTTGCTCCTGCCTCAGGTCGTGGGTTAATGTCACTGGCGGTTGGGCCCATATGTGGTCGGGAAGCTGACTTTGCTTACGAGTTGGAAGAGGCGAGACGAGGACGGAAGAGAACGGGAAAGCTGGGTATACCTCCATCTGACGGCAGAAATGGGCTGGACTAGGGCGGGGGCCCAAGCACTGGTTGGGTAGCGACATGTGCGCATCGTGGTATCTGTGCGATTGAGCGCACGTCGAGCGACTACACACTACTTGCTAGTCTTTGGCGTGTGGATGCGGGTTGGGACGCTGAATGGGGTGCGTTTACCGTCTGCCGCGCTGCGAACACCATTCCCGAAGGCCAGGGAGGAGAGTGCATTGCTAGTGGTGCAAGTGCGTTCTTTCCATTGTGCCAAAAGGCTGAAACCAGCACCTTGCAGCGGTAGTACTGGTTCATCAGCCAAAATGGCCCGTTTTCCTGACGTCGACGAGGGTTGGTGATGCCCAACCGTATGGATGTTGTAGGCTCGCGGCCTTGGCACCACCGTCTGCAGAAACAGACGAGCGTCCGTCTTTGATGCGAACTCTGATCTGGGCAGCCAGCCGCGGGGCGGAGTAAGTAAAAGTGACGGGTATAGCAGATGCGGGAAGAGGAGTGGCACGGCACGGCACGCCTGAGAAGTGCTCCAGGGTCATTTGTTGAGAGAGGCTGTGGCTGAGTTGTGTGCAAAATTGGACACTTGGAGGCTGGTGAAGATGACGGAGATGAGGGATGGATGTGATGATAGCATGATGGAGAAGACGGCGGGCTAGTGTTTGCACGTCCAATATTTTTTTGTGGTGTTGTGGTCATGTGGGGTAGAAAGTAGAATGCAAGTGCAAGCGCGCATTTGGGGAGGTGCGTCCCCCCCGGCTGCGGGAGGTGCGTCCCGGATGCAGGAGGGGGGGCACACACACACATGGCAAAAAAAAAACAAGCGCAAACCATGTCTCTATCACCACATGCCGACGACCTGTCTAAGCGCGGGCGGCGAGCATTGCCATTATGACAATCAGCAGCAGCAGCGGCGGCGTCGTCATCTTCTATTTCCCATTGCAGCGCATATGTGCATTTTGTCAGGGTCTGCAGAGGAATGGCTGGTGCTGCTTACCGCTGTGGCTGCTTAGCACTGTGGCGGTGCGCACTCGGACTCAATTTGGATGCTCACCCATGGGAAATTTGGTGTGCAGGAGCGGGAGTAGCGGTGTCGCAGTAGATTGCAAGTGCAAGCAGGTTTGGACCACGCGCTAGGGAGACGGCCGTATCAGAGAGGGTGCAGCGGGAGGGTCTCGCCACCAGGGTGGTGATGCTGATCCAGGCAAGTCGGGTGTGGAAGGGTGGAAGGGTGTGGATGGCTGCAATATTGCTAATAACACAGTGCGCGAAAACATGAGCGCGAGAGCGAGCGCGACGAGGGGCTGACCAAGGCGCGCGTCTTGTTTGTCACTCACACAAACACGGCCAGCCAAATTTGCCTCTCAGCTCTCCAACATTGACACGGCCACGGCTACGACTACGGCTCATCAACACCGTTGCCATCATCATCATCATCCATGGCCGTCCATGCCCATCCACTCGCGTGCACGGCGTGACAAAGAGGGTGCTGCAATTGTCGAGCTGCGTCATCAACACCACCGGGCCAGTGTAAATTGCACGCCGACAGCAAATGGCAGCCTTCTGGTGCCTGGCGTCGTTGTCCATCCTGGCCGGCGATACGGGAATGACTGCATAGCCTCCACCTGCATCCGCCAATTTTGCAGCTGACGGCGCGCCATCCGCATGTTGCCATGGACACTCGACCTTCCCAGTGTAATTCTGCCCCAGGGTGAATCCAATCAAGCAGAGCCCAAAGGGGTGCACCCGTCCGGGGTAGAGGCCGCTGCACCGTCGGCTGCTGCTGGTGATTCTACTTGCTGCTGCTGCTGCTGCTGCTTGCCATTGATGCCCATCCTATCCGCAACAAACTCCGCCATCCCGGCCACACCCTCTCTCTCTCTCTCCGGTTCGCGCGCGAGATTGTCTTCACCACTTTTTCCCTTCCTACTCTCGCCGGCCTCCCTCAAGCACGCGACACTGTGCGACGCACCACTCGACACCGGTCGCGCCCAGGGTCTACACCTATGAGGGGGCCGCGTCTAGGATTGCTCGCAGGCTGTGCAATTCACCGCTGCGCAGCAGCAGCAGCAAGGTGAAAAAATGGCCCCAGGGCGCCCGGATCATGTTCATGCAACCATCCATTCTGCCCGCCGCTGCAGCCTGGCTCTGGTACTTGTCGCTGAGGCTCATCCCATGTCACATCCACTCACACTGCCCTTGTTCAGGCTACAGTCAAAGCCGCCTAATACCACTTACACTTAAAGCCACCCAGGCCGGCACTCTAATTCCTCTCAAGCTGCTGCATGGTATCCACTCCGTCTCATCTGCACTGATTCTCTCGCATTTATTATTACCCATCTGCTTCTCTGACTCCTGCGCTTTCGGGCCTACGCCTCCTTGGACTGCCTGCCTGCATTCATCCTGTCCGGCGCTTGTCTCAGCCCGGCCATCATCTGCGCCCTTTAAATACACTCGCCGCCCACCACCATCCAAATACCAAGACCAACCTGCTTGTTTGACTCATAGCTGTCCTCCTTCTTGTACCTGCGCCAGTCCGCCCTCTGGCCTAGGTGCCAACTGCGTCTGTCCTGGTCAAGCATTCCCCTCTGGTCATTGAACTAGAGCCCCTTGGCCTGGCAATACAATCCCAACACTTGACGCGCACTCACCAACCCGACTTGCCACTCCGTCCTATCCTGGTAGTATACATTTCCTGTCGCCACCATGTGTCGGATCGAAGGTGACTGCACCTACTTGTGCGACCAAGCCCGCAGTGGGAGAACTTGCCGCGACCTACGGAGAGTTCCTGCTGCCTACACTCACCAGAAAGGCTCCGCCTCGCGCGACGACACTCCTTCTCCGGTAAACCCACCAACACCTACAAACTCTGGTGCCTATTTCACTCAGCGTCGCCGCCCATCCAACAGTGGCAGTCGCCCTTCCACTCGCGATGGGCAGCGCCTTAACCCTGAGATCATCATCGAAATCGGCTCCAAGAAAGGAAAGGGAAGCAAGTATCCGTCAGTCTCCATTTCGACAAAAGGCCACAAGCGACAATCCTTCGGCTCCATCGGATCCAATGACGCCGCCATCGATTCAGCAGAGTCGGAGGCTTCCTATGCTGTCCGGACTGGCTTTCCAGATGCCCCTTTACCCCCTCCTGCCTTTGACCAACCCAACACCTTCCTTCCCACGCCCCTTGCATCTCATGGATATTACCACCGACAGACGCCTTCAGCCTCTTCCAGCCAGACGCCATCGCTGACTGTGCTGTCCGAGCCAGACTATGATCGGTCCACCGGTCGGCGAAACACCCGCCCGTCTGCCACAGTCATCCACAACTCAACTCCCGCCCCTGCATCTCCTACTCGGCCACAGAATGGCTTCTCTTCCGGGCCCTACAAGACCAAGAGCATTGTACCAAGGGATCCTCTCCAAGGCGCTCAGACACCTACTAGCACCAACCCGCTTGATTACGACCAGTATGCTGATTATTCCGGCTCTTCTCGTGCCAGTTCTGGCATAGCTGAAACCACACGGCCTACCAAGAACAGTGGTCAACGACGAAAGAAACCAAGCGAGGATCTTCGCTACCAGGAAGACGTTGACCAAAAGAAGAAGGAAGACTTGGAGAACGACAAGCATGTTCGCTTCGAGCTTGGCCGTTACGAAGCTCGCGAAAAGGAGCGGGCCGAGAGAGCACAGGCTGAGAAGGAGAAAGAGCGTGCGGCACTCAGAGAAGAGGCTCGCGAAAGGGAGCGCGCCGAAAGAGCACAAGCTGAAAAGGAGAAAGAACGTGCGGCACTCAGAGAAGAGGCTCGCGCAAGGGAACGAGCTGCAAGGGCACAGGCGGAGAAGGAGAGAGAGCGCGCCGCGCTCAAGGAAGAAGAGCGCAAGCGCAAGAAGCTCGAGCGTCTGGAACAGGAAAAGAAGGAACAAGAAAAGAAGGAGCTCGAAGAGAAGAGAGCAAAGGACCGCAAGAAGGAAAAGTCAAAGCCTCCGACAACCGATTACCCCACGCGGCCGACCAACACGCGAAGGATGTCTTCGTTGATGACTCCTCAAGAGCAAGCCGAGCAAAAGCGTCTTGTCGAAGCTGATAGTCTCATCATGCAGACTGAGAAGCAGGCGGCAGAAGCTCGTGAGCGTGAAGAAAGAAGGGCAGCTGCTCGACAGCAACAAGACTCATCGACATACTATGACCCTCGGGCCGGTGACCGGTCTCTGTCAAACGCCAACGCCCCTAGCAAGCCGCGTCGTGATAGCGTTGCCTCTACAATGCGTCCTTCCGGACTTACTAGGACTTCTAGTAAGCACCGCCCGAGCATCACGCAACCCAACCCGCCCACTGTCAGCGCTCAACCACCTACGGACTTCTCGACTCGACCCTCAAACCCGAGAGCACATGCGCCACCCCCACTCTCCTTTCCAAAGACGTTCAACCAAGACTACGGTCGCCCACCATCGGCTCGCCGTCCCTCCCTTACGCCAGACAACCCTTTTTCGCCTAGCGCTGTACAGTCGCCTGCGGCTGATCCATGGGACTTGCGCAACATGGAGCCCGCGCTTCCATCTGCTCGCTCTTCGGACATCCGCCAGCATCACGGTATGCAGCCGCGTGGTGATCCAATCATCCATGGCCCTACCCGTCCTGTCCGACGTGCCCCTGAATACGTCAGTGCATTCGAAGATGATGACGATGGCATGGAGGATTACCCCCCTCGATTTGCTTCACGCACGGGGCTGAGTCGGAGTGATTCAAGGCGGAAGCATTGATTTCCGTTACCAGTTGTATTTTAGTGTTGCTTTATGATTTTGTACTGTTTCGTATGGCGCCTTGTCTGCTTTTTGTCGTTTGGTCTTGCTCTTGATACCCCCTTCACCTGCCGCGTACACTTAGACTACCCTGCGAATGTTATGATCAGCGTATACCATGTTGTCTTTGTCGTTCTACATTGTGTATTGTAGCCTGTGCGTTGTTGTTGCTGTTTTTTTTTCGGCAAAAAGCTCTTGCCATTTGTGCCCTCGTGCTTGGATCTCGCTAGATGATAATGTATTGCGTTGCCTCTGCGGCGAGAGTGTGAGTGTTGCGACACTGCTTACATGGCTGGTGCCTCGTCCTTATCACTTACTACGTTACCCTAAATCTTAGCGCGCCGGCCTGAATGAACTAGGCTTGTAGACCCTTGGATGAGATAGGAACGGTCCAGACAGTGCTCTGCCACGTAGTTAGACCCTGATACATGAAGGGTGACGCGGGGTAGTAGTACTACCCCTTACTTTCCCCTCTTGTTCTGGACGCATCCTACCAACGGTATCCACCGACTATCACCAAAGGTCCACAATCCACCTCACCGCCTATAGGTATAACACCGAATAATCAAAACGTGACGTGTACTATGATCAACACACGGCAATGCAGGGACGGCAAAGACATGGGTTTTCTTGCATCGAGAGTCCTGTCAGCATGGCCATACCTATTGAAGACGCAGTCTCGCTCGGCCGATAAGCATTAGTTTAGAGATCTCAACCGTTGCTGCTAATTGGAGGCGAGCCCACCGCTTCTTTCTGGATAAAAACACCGTCGATCCAACTTCCTCAAGGATCAACCCAGGTAGATCTCCGGGACATTTCTATCCGGCTTCTACAAAATCAGGCTATGCGGGGACTAAAGAAGCTGGGGGGTACGCACTGGTGCTTAGCTGCATGCTTCTAAGACCCGGTACTACCAGAAAGACGGTATAAAGCTTCGATGGTACCCACAAGCAATTGTAGATTCATGTACTGGCCAGGTAACTGGTAGTAGTAGTTGTTGTTACTCGAGTGGCTGCAGTCACCGTCGTACAGTCTCAAGTTCGATTGGACACACGCGTGTCCAAGGTAAGTTCAAACATTTGCTTTGAGAATGTTCCGGTAGTGCTTACGAGTCAATACAGACTAGCACCTCCCCCCATGCGGCTTCACAGCGTCTCGGTCTTTGCAGCCGTTGCGCTCACAACGCTCGCAGAAACGACTTCTGACCCTTCCGGTTCAAATAGCTCCCAAGCCATAGTTCCCGATGGTCTAGAAGGAGACGACGCAGCAAAGTTATTGCAGTCAATTCAGGCAAATTCCACCAACTCTTGCGAAGCAGCAGTAAGCTTTTCTCTCATTTACCCTTAAACCTTTCACAAATATTCATTATCATCATGGAATTTATTCATCTTACTAATCCCTTTCCTTCAATTTCTAGTGCGCTTCGCTCCTGGGAGAATTTGGCGCTACCAAAGTCGCGGGCGGCGAAGACCCGGACTATAAAGCCGCGATTGAGGGTTTCTGGTCCCAACAGCAGCGAGAGCCCGTACCACGCTGTATATTCCGACCAGAGACAGCGCAAGAAGTTGCAAATGTGGTACGTGTGTCCCAGGCGAACAAGTGTCAATTTGCCTTTCGAAGCGGAGGCCATGCCCAATTCGCGGGTGCATCCAGCGCAGATGGAGGCATAACTGTACTTTTTGAACGCATGGCAGGCATTACGCTGTCTGAAGATAAAAAGGTTGCTTCAATTGGACCCGGGGCCGTCTGGAGTGATATTTACGGCAGCCTGGCTGAGCACAACCTCGCCGTCGTGGGTGGCCGTGTCGCTGACATTGGTGTCGGAGGACTTGTGACAGGCGGTGGCATTTCGTACTTTTCCAACCAGCACGGCTGGGCATGCGACAACGTTGTGTCGTATGAAGTCGTCCTGGCAGACGGACGCATTGTGACTGCCACGCATGATTCCGAGTACTCTGATCTCTACTGGGCATTACGCGGCGGCGGCAACAATGTCGGCATCGTGACGCACTTCAACCTCGAGACTTTTGCTCACGGCCCCCTCATGTATGGTGGAGACCGAGTATTCACCAACGAAAGCTTCTCAGCCGCCATCGATGCCTTTGTCGACATGGCCAAAAACCTTGAGAAAGACCCAAAGGCCACGGAGTTCCTGTCCTTTGTCCTCGACACAAGGAACAATATGCGAATTGCAATTGTCGATCTCGACTACGCAGACCCAAAGACGGACGCACCTATTTTCGACACATGGAACAAAATCCCCGCGGTTGTCGACAACACCAAAATCAACAGCCTGGTCAACCTGACCCTGGCTCTCGCGGCACCCAATCCAAGTGGAATGCGACGATCCTACTGGTCCATGTCTGTCAAACTCACAGACCGTGAAATCATCGACCGCCTCGTCGACATCACCTTTGAGACTGGCGACAAGCTCGCACACGTACCCGGTATGATACCCGTACAAACCATCCAAGTCGTCACCGAGTCACAGCTCAAGCATATGGAGAAGAACGGCGGCAACGCCCTCGGTCTCTCCGTCTCCGATGGTCCTTTTCTCCTGCTCCTCCAGTCCTTCGGATGGATGAATCCCGAGGACGACGAGCTCGTGCTCAAGACCGCCGCAGACATGGTTGCCCAGATTAAAAAAGTGAGCAAGGATTTGGGAGTCGCCCACGACTACATTTACATGAACTACGCGAGCCAGTTCCAGGACGTCATCGCGGGTTATGGCGAGAGCGCGAAGAAGCTGAGGGATATTGCGCGCAAGTACGATCCTGAGGGTGTCTTTCAGACGTTGCAGCCGGGATACCACAAGTTGAATGGGCCCAAGAGTCAGGATGTGCCTGTGTGGGATCGTCTCAGGGCTTTTTTCAATGACAAGTTCTCGTGAGGAATGATGGGTTATCGTGGTACCAGAGTCGACGCTCGAGTCTGATGCGGGAGACAAATGAAATGAATGAATGAATGAATGAGTAATATGAGACGAATTGTTGAGCAGTTACATCTACATAGCTTTTTAGAGCAGTAGAAATCATTATGCGAAAATGTCAATGGTTGTTGAACGTGCAATTGAAACAATGCGTTGTTCCGAAATTAGTGTCAAACATCAAGGGTCACTGACGTCATCTGATCAACTAGTAACCCGTAGACACGAATTTGCTGGCAATGCGAGCAAGAAACACAATAGGCAACAGATGACATTTTTGATAACCACGCTGAGTGTGGTTTCTTTCTGGCCCGCTGCTCTAGCAGACCATATTTTCTTCTAAGAAGCTACGTGACGAAACATGATTGCATAGTCCTTTTTGCCTACATATTACGCCAGGACAAAAGGCAAAAAAGGAAATTCTTTTGGAATAACAGAAAGAAACAATATGGCGCCAGGCCATCCAAGTCATAAGCAGCACTTGCTACAACCGTCAGTGAAGGGTATTATCCAGGAAACACAAACACGCAGCGCTTTTAATACCAATGCCGTCGAAAGATCAACATCAACGAGACGGTAAGAACGCTATCATGAAAAAGAAAAGGAAGCAGTATTAATCGCCAGGATGATACGAGATATGAGATGGGAGATAGGAAACAGGAAATAGGAAATAAAGAACAAAGCAACAGAAACGGATGATTAGGAAAGAAATGTCAACTGTACGTCGCGCAACAGCTATTGCTGCTGGTGCTGCCTTCGCCTGTGCCTCTGGAGGTTGTCCTTGCGCGAGAAGCCACCGAGGTTGACGCAGTCAGGATGTTCGCAGCGAAAGGTGTTCATGGTGGATGAGGGGTCTTGATGTTGAAGTTGGTGTCTGCGAAGGTCCTTCGGGTACCTGAAGCCCCAGCTGCAAGTCGGGCACACGTGAGGCCGCTCATTGCGGTGGGATGTCTTCTGGTGGCGGCTAGCGACAGTCAGTTATGCTGACTTGCATACTCTCGAGACTAGACTCACTTGAGGTCGCACTGACGATTGAATACTTGAGTGCATTCTGGCTCGTTGCAGACGAAACCACCTTCGCGAGGAGGTTGCCGCCTGCCTGAGCGTCTCCTAGACCTGGCCTGACGCGACAGCAAGCGGTCGCCGGGAGTGTATGTATCGTCGACGTGCGCCTGGACAGTACCCGGCTGTACAGTTGTCTCGTTCGCATTAATGCGCTGGATGTACTCGTTCGAAACTGGCCTAGGGCCGCCGGTGACGTAGTCACAAACTGGCGTCAAGTTCACTTCCGTCTCGTGTGTGTCCGGCGGCGGTATGTTCATGGGATCGTGGTATTCGGGCGCTGCTACGTAATTGTACGGCATCTGCGAGCGGTATCGTCAGGACGGAGTTGCACACATACGCGTGACAGTCTTACCAGGGCCAGAATGCACTGGCAAAAGTCGAGCTGCATGCCGGCGCAAAAGTGGCATACCAAAAGCCCCTCTACTGGATATGTTAAGTCCATTGGACTGATAGGCGGTGTTAGGTCCATGACTGGGCCTGAAGCTGCCGCTGGCGAGAGCAGAACAGTGAGCAGCACTGTGAACAGCAGCAATGTGTACATGCTCTGGTGTGGGTGTGGGTGCCTAAGGAAGAGACTTGGTTATGGTGGAGTGTGCGAGGATGGCAGAGGCAGTGAAGGGGACAATGAGGGTCGCAAGACTGTATGGTCAGAGAATAGCGACAATGGAGAGAAAAGTAAAGGAGGAGAGGAAGGACTGCCCCGACGAAAAAGGGCGTGAGATCTAAGATCGCGGGTGCATGCCAGTGGCAGAGGACTGGGGGAGGCCGGCTGCCTGAGGAGCCACAGGTCACGGGGAGCTGTGGCTATGTTGATGATGTAGGTGCCGACCATTTTAGCGAGTTTGGGAGCTCTGCAGCTACAGTTTTGTCAGTTGGACATGTTAGCAGTGATGAAAGTGCAACTTTTGATGCAATAAAGTGTGTGATTGTGGTGGTTGCGTGTCGAAGGGAAATGCGGCGGCACTGCGCAGCGATTAGGGATGCGTAACCCTCCACTGTCTTGACACCATGCCACTTCGAGATCTCGAGAGGGGTGATGCGGCTCAACTCGACACGTGACTTACTCACATCGCCAATGTTTGAAGATTCTTTTGACTTGCTTTCCTGTTATGGGGCTCTTTCAGTGTTGCGTAATCTAGATGCCTCCAATAAATAGTTGCTTGGTACTTGGTGAAGATATGGTCGTGAGTTCTCTTCTCACGTGCCAACGCATCCGGAAACTTTCACCCTGCCTTTGTTATCTTTTTACCTCGAGCCCCCACGCTTTTACGATATAACGTAGGCTTCGTCATCGCGATTGCGTGTCTACTTCTCTTCAGCTCGTTTGTCGATGACTCTGCACTGAGTTTTGTTGATTCGCAGAGGAGGTTTCTGGTGCAAAAGTACGCAGTTTAGACAAATAGTCTCATGCATGTAATGACAACCGGCCATGGATACCGAGTATTCCACTTGCTTCATGTTCAGGCTGGGAATTTGTGCTGGATATATATTGCAACTTCTCTACAGGCCGCCTATGGCACACCCTCGTCACGAGACATCCTTACATTGAGGCAACCGCTTCAGCCGTACCATTCAGGTGGACGCTTTATGAGGCAAACCTCACGCTTGTTGTTTTTTGGCTTCGATAGCGAGCATTTCAGGTTTGACTCACAGCTCCGGTGCTCTGGCTCGTCAGGACGTCTTATGATTTACCTTGCGAGCGGCCTCCTAGGCATCTACGAACAAGGGTACCAGCCAAGCTCCACCTTGGCCACGTTCCGCCCACTCCGACTTGTCAGCGCTTAATTTCAATAGATACCAGAGCTACTAACTTCAACATACTAGGCTAAGATGACAAGGATCACGCTGTATGTCGGAAATCTGGTCGTGTAGAGTACAGAGTCTGCCCCGCATTGACTTGCCTACGTAGCCTAAAAGTCCTTGACCAAACTGCAGCCTTAGCCACCAACAAACAAACCACTAACAACGCATCGCAGAAGCCATGTTATCAGCCCGGGGGCGTCAGTATGCAGCCTTGGATTTGGCGGCTGGCTATACCAAAGTTCGTGGCCCTTTGTACAACAAAGACACGCATCCAGATGGCCTGGTTTCTTTCAAAAACGCTGAAAATGTCAGTGGCCGTCATGTCAAATACTAAAAAGTCATGAGAGACAGTGCTGATGTATGCAACAGTTTCTCATGCATGATGAAGCGCTTGACTATATCAAGACAAAGGTCAGCCTTCACAGACTTGATGGGGTACAGTACCTAAAGGATAATGCAGTGCATACCATCTCTCGAGCCAGAATCTTTGACCTATCATGATGGCCCATTCGGTTCCAAGCGATTGAGGGCCGCAATGGCTTCCTTCGTCAACAAGCGCTTTTCACCAGCCTCAACCGTAGCCATTGAGCATGTTTCATTTGTCAGTGGCGTGACGGCATTGAACGACATACTGTCACTGTGCATGACCGATGGGGAGAATGATGCGTTGCTTCTAGGCATGCCGATTTATGGATCCTTTGTTCCAGATCTGCAGAGCATGTCACGGTGCGTTGGGTTCCTCTTAGAATAAGACTTGGGATGGCACGACTAACATCGCCCGCAGTTGCAACTTGGTTTATGCCTCATTTGGAGATGTTGATCAGTTCAATGTCAATTCAGTCGAGTGTTATGAGCGTGCTCTGCTACAAGCCGAGCAGGGTGGTATTAAAGTGCGAGCGCTTGTTTTGGCCAACCCACACAATCCTCTTGGTGTGTGCGCGGTCGTTTGGTGTTAAAGCATAAGAGGCTAACGGTGCAGGACAATGTTATTCCCCAGATGCGTTGAAAGCAATCTTGAGCTTCTGTAATAAGCACAAAATACACCTTATCAGTGATGAGATCTACGCCTACTCTGTATATCACACAGATGCCTCGAGCCCAGGCTTTACATCTATACTCTCGCTAGATACGGCCGGTATCATCGATAATGACCTCGTACACGTAATGTATGGAATGGCAAAGGTAGGTTTTTGATATACCAATTGGCATCATTGACCTCTTACAAACCATTGACAGGACTTTGCTGCTGCCGGTCTGAGATTGGGATGCTTGGTCACCAGGAACACTGAGCTAGGACAGGCTGTGCAGTCTCTGTCGTAGGTTACTATCATTCTCGGCAAGCGATGACTGACCATTGACAGGCGATTTCACGGCGCGTCACCAATGGCCGACGCGATCGCGACATGCATACTCGAGGATGAGGAGTGGCATCTGCAATTCTTCAACAAGAGTACGCATATTCTCCGAGAACACCGAAAGATCGCTGCAGAAGCATTTGATAGTGCTGGTATTCCATATGAGAGGAAAGCGTACGTGATAGGCGTTGTACAGCCTTTTCTTGTGTAGAGCTGACGCTTTGCGTAGAAACGCTGGGTTCTTCCTTTGGATCGACCTGTCGGCATGCTTACGCAGCCTGACATGGGAGGCTGAAGACGACCTCAAGGATAGGCTCTACGATTTCGGTGTGGAAATGGCAGCTGCACGTGGATATCACGGGGAAATGCCAGGGCACTTTAGATTCCTATTTTCAGTGGATAAAGATACTGTAGAGGAAGCAGCAAGGAGGATTGTCAAGTTCTTCGAGAACAATAAGGTAGATCATGCGTAACCCGTCGGGCACGTAGTATTTGATGAAGTCATAGCGCAATAGACCTAGCTTTCCCCCCAAACTTTATTCCTCGTTTTCTAGAAAAAGGCGTAAGAGGCCGATCTTCTCGGATACATGCCGACAAAACGCTCGTGACCACGCGACAGGGCGCTACGCGACGGGCGGATCCCTGTGCTCGATCGTTCCGTGCGATCGGAAATCAACAGCGGCGTTGCGTCATCATTCCTGCCACGGCACTCTCACTTTTGCAAACAAACAACACAATACTTCAATCCTGATATCGCCATAATTCGATATCTGCGGGCATAGACATGGCGCCCATACTTGCGCGAAAGCGCTTGCACTCTACCTCGCCTGCCCTGGAATCGCCACCTAAACGCGCATGCACTACCCGCAAACCCCCAGCGCCTGCTCGCACAGGCAAAGTATCCGTCTTCCAGACTTTGGATGCGCCACCAACGACCAAGCGCACACTCTCGCAAACAAAGGCTCTATTGGAGGAAGAGGAAGGAGACGGCGATAGTGAATCGTCAGAGCTAGAGAGTACCGAAGATGAGTTTGAGGATGTACCGTTGAATGGGGCAACCAAAGGCAAAGGGAAGGCTAAGGCACAGCTAGATGAAGAGAGCGACGAAAGTGAAGATGGCGATTGGGAAGATGCGCTTGGCACACATCATTACACAAAGCCAGACCATGGCCCTGCGCCCATCATTACTGGAGATATTGCGTTGACGCTGTCCGCAGCGCCCAAAACCGCATTTGAAACCAAGCCAGATGGGAAAAAGGGAGCCTCAAAGGTCCAGAGACAGATACGGACCGTCACTCATTGTATCCATGTACAATTCTTGATGTTCCACAACCTCATGAGAAATGCATGGGTTCAGGACAAGGAGGTCCAAAAGACTCTTGTTCAAGCCATGTCCCTTGGGTGCTGGCGTGAACTGGAGAAGTACTGGAACGACACAGGAATTCGAAATGGATCCAGCCGGGCAGTGGTCCAGAAACCACCCAGTCCCAAAAAGAAAGAGCCAGAAACTCCCAAAGGAAAATGGAAAGAGAGTGGCAAGGCGGGTGTCAAGGTGTACGAGAGCCCGCAAAAGCGAATGGATGTTCGCAACAAAGCCAAGGGCAGGGGAGAGAAACCTTCCGAGCGTGACAAGAGAACCCGCGGCTGGGGCGCAGCAGCTGAACCGCTCGAGCCTAACTCTCCGAACCTGTCCGCTGGTGACCCTTTGATCAGGCTTCTCAAATATCTCTCGGCTTACTGGAAGTCCAAGTTCCAGATCACTGCCCCAAGCTTGCGAAAGCGTGGCTACCTATCGCCGTCAGTATTGGAAGCGGAGATCAAAGCTTGGAAAGACGATCCTAATCACCCCGACATTTTTGGCGAACGCGTGAAAGACATTGCTGCTTTCCGGGAATGCGCACAAAAGTGCCAAGGCAGTAGAGATGTCGGAGAACAGCTCTTCACCGCCCTACTCCGTGGACTAGGTATTGAGGCGCGAATGGTGGTCAGCCTGCAGCCAGTTGGTTTTGGATGGAGTCAGAGTGAAGAAGGTAAACCAAAGAACCTTGAGCGATTGAACAACTCGAAGCTCGCCGATAATCAAAGTACGGAAAAAGGAAACCCGACCAGAAGCAAGACCAAGAAACCCGTCCCTATAACGAAGACGGATGGATCAATCGATGTCAGCATGGACGACAGTAGCGATTTGAGTAGTGTCATATCCATATCTTCAGACTCCGAGGATAACAGACCACCAAAGAGATCACCGAAAGCGCGCAATTACGGTGAAGAGCTGCCATACCCTACCTACTGGACAGAAGCCATTTCACATTTGACACACACGCCTATATCAGTATCTCCACTTCCTCGTACCATTATTGCAAGTGCCGCTTCTCCAGATAAGCTTGTGGATTTCTATGCTCGTGGCGCAGCGGCTGACAAGGCGAAACAAGTCTTGGCCTATTTGATCGCTTTCTCTTCTGACGGCAGTGCAAAGGATGTCACCACACGCTACCTACCCAAGCATCAATGGCCTGGTAGAACTAAAGGTTTCCGCATGCCTGTGGAGAAGGTGCCGATTCACAACAAACATGGAAAAGTCAAGCGATGGGAAGAGTGGGATTGGTGTAAATCGTCGATGCGACCTTATGCACGATCTCACGATAAACGCCAACCTTGGGATGAGGTGGAAGACGAGGGCGACCTCGTACCTGCACAAGCAGAAAGAAAGAAGGGCATGGACGAAGAAGGTGGCAAGGAGACGCTACAGGGGTACAAGAACTCGACCGAATATGTACTGGAGCGTCATCTACGACGAGAGGAAGCTCTCAGACACGGTGCCAAGATTGTCAGGTTCTTTGTGACGGGCAAGGGAGACAATGAAAAGTCGGAACCGGTCTATCGCCGCAAAGACGTTGTATCGTGCAAGACGCAAGAATCATGGCACAAAGAGGGGCGAGAAGTGCTGGAAGGTCAACAACCGCTCAAGCTCGTGCCTATGCGCGCCGTCACCGTTACTCGAAAACGTGAGATTGAGGAGCGTGAACGCATCGAAGGTGGCAAAGTGAAACAGGGTCTTTACTCCAAGGAACAGACGGATTGGATCATTCCCGATCCCATTGTTGATGGCAAGATCCCACGTAACGCATTTGGGAATATCGATGTATACGTTCCAACAATGGTTCCCAAAGGGGCTGTTCACGTGCCTCTCAAGGGTACTGCGCGAATATGCCGCAAGCTCAACATCGACTACGCAGAAGCGTGTACGGGGTTTGAGTTTGGTAAACAGCGCGCTGTACCAGTAATCACAGGTGTGGTGGTTGCAGCAGAGCACGAAGACATGCTTATCGATGCTTGGGAAGCCGAAGAGGCAGAGAAGCAAAGAAAAGAAAGGGAGAAGAGGGAGAAGTTTCTGCTAGGGCTTTGGAGGAGATTTGCTTCTGGACTGAGGATAGTAGATAGAATGAGGGAGGAGTATGGGGAGGATGTCGAGTTGCCGGTCAAAGAAAAGGTATTGCCACCGAAGGATGAAGAGGAAACCCCCGAGACGAGGAAGTCACAGTGGGAAGTGTTTGAGGCTCAGACTGACTTTGAGGGGGGCTTTGTGCGAGACGATGTGGAACTCTCTGGTGGCGGTGGTTTTATGCCAGACAAGGCACATCAGACAGCCGAGCGTGACCTGGACATGGCAGGTGGTTTCCTGCCGGCAAGCCAGGAAGAGGATGAAGAGCTGACAATCGACCATGGCGAAAAGAAAGACGTGTGGGCGCCCGTCGTGGAGACTGCATATCGCACGCCCATCTCACTTACCCAAGCGTTACAACGACCCACGAGCGAGCCAAGCGAAAACCCGGATCATAATGAGGCAATGAGTATCGACCAAGACACAGAAGACGAAGACGAGGGCAAACGGAATGACGAGGATGAAGAATACGAGCATTCAAACCTTGAATTGAATCATCAAAAGTCTACGGCTGGCACATCAGGTGGTCGTGGCCGTGGCCGTGGTCGTCCTAGAGGACGTGGCACTAAGGCCCCGGCTCGCTTAACTCGTAAACCCAATTCAACGGGGAATGAATTGTCCAATGGAGCACTTCCCGATGCCGCCTCAAATCCGCCATCACCTCCACCTTCCAGGCGGTCAGCACCAAGGCGCAAAGCAGACAGAAAAAGCGATGCGCATGTCAGGAGCCACTTTTTCGCAGAGGCAAGCGAAGGCGAGACAGATTTGACCGACATGACGGATCGAACATCGCCAAAGAAGAAGCCGACGAGAGGGCGCGGAGCGGGAAGGGGGAGAGGCAGGGGCAAAGGCAAAGCGGGGAAAGCCAAGTAAATATCGTACCAGAGGATTTCCGAAATGCATTTTGCACGTTGGACAGCAACAGGCGAGATAGCTGCTACTGACCAATAGTGCATCGTGGTGGGGGGGAGACTACTTATTATGATGCTACTTATTATGATACTAGAGACAAAAAGAAACTTATCGATTCCAATGCGGAAGACAATGAGACGAGACAGCCTCCCACCGTTCTCCACATGTCACAAACAGGACGCCTTCGGTATAGTCGGCACCGCCCTATAAGTAGACATCCCAGGCGCATGTGGAGCCGCACAACCGAGGCCAGCCTGCCAGGCACGTCACGAGTCGGGTGTGTCTATTTGTAGGCGAGCCCAGTCTCCCAAGAATGCTTGGCAAGCCTGCGACTTACTTGGCTCCCAGGGCTCCGTTTTCCCCTTATTATTACATGAGCCGACAGCCAACGGCGCGGTTGACAGCGGCGTGGGTGGCTTCTTTGGGTTTCAACGTGTGCGCGCCTTTGTTGACGGGGCGTGCGTGCTGTTGGGTCAAGTGTGCAAGAAGCAAGACGCTGGCTTAGGGCGGAATCTGGCACCACGGCCACATGGCTGGAGAATCTCCGCCCCTGTGGTTGGAAACTCGACTAACGGAATCCTGTTATCAAGTGGAGAGCAAATGGCCCGGCGGCTTTCTGAATCTCCCGCATGTCTTTGCTGGGGGGGAGGGGGCGCCGTATCGTATTCGTTCCTTCGCGGTCTTCTTGGCTCAATACATGCAGGCGGATCTCCGACCTAGCTCGCGCTCGTTAGCTTCCTAACTCGTCATCCCTCCCCGTCTCATAGCAGCACTGTTGATACCCCCATGTTATAAGTATTTGCTGCCGTCGGCGCCTTTGATTTTCCCACACGCTTTCGCTGCTCGTCATCTGGTTTGCCATTTTTTGTCTTGGCAGACTGTCCATTCGCTTTCCTAATCATTTCTATCGCTTAATCTGTTTAGTACTATAATATTTCTTAGCATCATGCGCTTCTCCAACGTTGCTACCGCCGCCCTGGTGGCTCCTCTTGTCGCCGCTCACGGAGGAGTCCCGGGTGCTCCCAAGCTTTTTGGTCTTCCTCGCCACCTCCAGGACGAACTCAAGGCCCCTGTTGCTGCTCGCACTCTTCGACACTCTTCTGAGCCCCGACACGGGCTTTTGGAGACCCGTCAAGGCGGCCAGAATGGTCGCTGTGGACCCAGCTTTGCAAACGCAAAGTGTGCTGCCGGCTACTGCTGCTCTGGTGCTGTATGTCGTTGACAAAGAAATCACGCCAAGGACCAATAACACTGACAATTTCAAGGGATATTGCGGAACCAGCAAGGACCATTGCTCAGCACCGGATTGCTTGATCGATTTCGGCCCGGCTTGCGATGCCAACAAGACTCCTAGCGGTGCCTCTACCCGCAACGATGCTCGTCCTCAGAAGGGCAATGTCCCTTACGGTGGCGAGGGCATCTATGTCTGCCAGAAGCCAGGAACTGTCGCTATTACTTATGACGATGGGTAAGCAACTATCCAAGGAACCTCCAAGCATGCATGTCAGCAAACTGACCCGTCTAGTCCTTACATTTACACGGACCGTGTCCTAGACCAATTTAAACAATACGGTTTCAAGGCTACCTTCTTCGTTACCGGTATTAACATCGGAAAAGGAGCTATTGACACTACCACTCAGTGGGCCAATGTCATCAAGCGCATGGTTGCTGAGGGCCACCAAGTCGCATCTCACACTTGGTCGCACCAAGATCTTAGCGTCATCACTGAAGAGCAGCGCTATGATCAGATGGTCAAGAACGAAATGGCCATCAGGAACATCATCGGAAAGTACCCGACGTACATGCGCCCCCCTTACTCATCCTGCAATGCCGCATGCCAGGGTGTGATGAAGAAGCTCGGATACGTCATCAGCTACTTTGACTTGGATACCGTACGTGAAACCATTTGTCTTTTTTCCTTTTTTTTTCTTGTATAAGTTTCACACACTAACATGCCTCAAAGGATGACTACAACCAACTCAAGAACATCCAAGTCGCCAAGGACAACTTCAAGCGCATCCTCGACTCCACTGCCGGCGGCCCAACCACTGGTGACCGTCTGGCCATTGCCCACGACATCCACGAGCAAACCGCCCTCAACCTCACTGGCTACATGCTCGAGTACCTCAAGTCCAAGGGCTACCGCGGTGTCACCATGGGCGAGTGCATGGGCGAGCCCGAAGCAAACTGGTACCGCAAGACCGGCGAGACCGTAACCCCCCCATCCAACGGCGGCGGCAACACCGGCGGCACCCCCATCTCCACCGACGGCCAATGCGGCTCCGGCAAGGGCACCTGTGCCGGCTCTGCCTTTGGCAACTGCTGCTCCTCCTTCGGCTGGTGCGGCAGCACCGACGGCCACTGCAAAACTGGCTGCAACTCTGCCTTTGGCACTTGCACCGGCGGCAGCACTTCGCCCTCCACGCCTGTTTCTACCGACGGCCAATGCGGAGCAAAGGGCTTCGGCGCTACCTGCCAGGGCTCCTCGTTTGGTAACTGCTGCTCGCAGTTTGGATGGTGTGGTAGCTCCCAGGACCACTGTGGTGCGGGCTGCGATAAGACATCTGGTACTTGCAACTAAATAGCGGAGTGGGTGATATATGTTTTGTCATTTCTCATTCCTGTTTTTTTGTGTTTTTTTTGTAAATACCACGATCTACGCTTGAGCGGCTCGTTGCTGTGACTGTTGTGCGATTATATCAAGAATCAAAAGTATGCTTATCTTGCTCTCTCTCTTTCTTTCTCACTCACTCACTTTCTCTCTCTGTCTCTGTGCGTATTTTGAGTCTTTTTTTTGTTTGTTGAGTAGTGATGTTGCTTTTTGGCCGTCATGCACGGGCTTTTTCTTGAACGCTATTGTTGATGCTAGATGTATAGCAGCCTCTTTACTAATGCAAAGCTAGTCCATGTGAGAGATGGTTAGATCTTACTAGCTTGTTGGGGGAAATCTCAAGTGCAACGAATGAACCATTAGCCTACTCTACACATTTTTCTCCGATTTCAGTCTTTGATGTTACTACTATTTTTTTTTCGGTAGTTCAGCCTCACATGCATCTACCTCACTACACTTTCCTAGTGAGGAATTTTTTTTTTGAAAATGACGTAAGTGCCAACTAGTTGCTTGTCTACCGTGGTATTGGGTATTCTTTTAATAGTTCTATTTTGAGATGTACAATATGCTATTTCTGATCTGGTGTACTTGTGTCCTTATCCCTACCTGCTCTCGATTAGCGACAAACTCAAACTACGATAGTGGCAATAGAGACTGTACAATTGACGTGGGAGATAAAACAATAGACTACAGGACGGGAAATATGGATGTTGGAAACGGAATAGCCAGCACGGAGACAGCAAGAGATTATATGGAGTACAAGGTTGCTATGGATAACTATGAGGCGGGATTTAAGAAGACCAAGGACGAACTGGAAAAGACATGGAATGCGGTCGGTATGGTCCAACGTGATGATGGGATTGTTTAGAAAGATTCATTGACGCTGCCTGGCTGGCAGGCAGACAATCTGGAGAAGGGTCGAAAGGCTGCATCTCAACAACAAGCAAGAGTATTCAACAACTCATCATCGGTTCTATGTATCCGCACTAGTTACTAGGCTTCCTTTCGATTTGGGAGTAATATCGCCCGCCTTGATATATGCTTCCCATATACCCATGCCCAGCTACTTGGTTCTCGGGCTCCTTGCAAGAAAGAAAGCCCAAGTGCTACAGGTGAAGCGAATCATGCATGACATGGCTGTCTATGCGCTATGCAGCTACTCTAACGGGCCGTCAACGGCGCCGTTCCGTTCCGTCGCTTACCCAGCCCACCGCTTATTGTCAGGTAAACGACTCAGTTGCAATTGCGGTGAAAATAGGTACATGACGATCCTTCTAAAATGGAAGGTGGTCCCGAGCGAATCTTGGAGTACGTGGACTTTCCCACACTCGAATGCCCTTGCGTGACGCGGCATGACCTGCAAGTATCATTATGTTACGCCTTTGGACAATCGTAAACTCTATTGCTAAATTCACAGTCTTTTCCAGCACTTTATGATATTCCGTGTTGCGTTATTGAGAAGTCGCTGATTCATTTTGGGACTCGTGAAAATCGCATCATACTAGTTCGCGATCCAATTGCTGTTACCCTATGCTAAACAAATGATGGTGCGAGCGGATGGAAAAAAGTACATATGAGCCATCTACTCCCTTGACTTAAAAGATCAAAAATAAAAAATAAATCTATCCGTCACCTAAAATCTAACTCTCCATTTCTACTCACGCCGCCAGTAACTCCATCTAACGCGCCGGCTCCGGATACGCTTCTAAAGAAGCAACAAGCAGCCTTTGAAGATTGCATTCGGGTAATGTGCTCTGCGAGTAGCTCGCACTAGAAAACCCAGCTTGACGCATGAACTCCATCCATACTTCTGGTGGCTGAATAGCATGATTGGCATCGTTTGCCAGCCACCAGCCATCCAGCAGGCCAAAGACGACCTCGTGCCAGTCGATCTTGGTGGTGATTTCCGAAAGGACCAAAACGCCGTGGGCGTTTAGCATTTCTTTGATGCGGCGGCAGGTTGAGGCTCTGTTGGTTGTCGCGTGGACGCAGTTCGTGCTGATGACGATGTCGAATTTGCCGATTAGATCCGCGGGAGGTGGAGTCTCGAGATTGAGTACTCTGAATTGCATGCCGGGGTGATTGAACTTCTTGGATGCGTTTCGGACAAAGGTTGGGGAGATGTCTGTGAAGAAGTACTCGATAGGGTGGTTGAGGTTGCCCAGTGCTTCGATGACGCGCTTTGTAGTGCCTCCTGTGCCTGCTCCAACTTCAAGGATGCTAATTGGCGCGTTGGCGTTTTTGGCGAGACGAAGCAAAAAATCGACGAGGAGCTCCGTCAGAGTGGCGAACATGGGTGCTTTGGTGTAGAAGTTTCTGATAATCTCTTGAGCCTTTGGGTTGCCGAAGAGGAGTTTGATGGGGTCTTCGCTGCCTGTTAAGCACTCTGCGAGCTTTGATCCGGTGAGAGACATGAGTTCTGCCTCACAGCTGTATTGAGGGAAATCGGCTATGAATTCGCTCAGAAGCTGAGAGGAAGGGGCAAAGTTGCACGACCTGGATGATCGAACGTAGTCTGACCCTTTCTTTTCGATGACTTTGTGCTTCTGGAGAATCTCGTAATACCTCCGTACTACCTTGGAGTGTTTGTGCTGATAAGAGAAGCTGGGAATCTTTTGGCCCATGCTGAGAGTTCTGAGATCAACCCCCAACTTTTGTAGCCCTTCTGTCATATATGCAAGGAGTAGTTCATCTTGACGAGCCGCGACTTCAGTCAGATACCCTGTATACTGGCAATCTGTCGCGTATACTGGAAATGAGGATTCGGCTGCCAGGAGAGTCTTGAAAGGATCTGTAATACCTGCACCCTTTCCATGACCGCTTGTTGGTACACTTTTCACAGTCGAAACCAATGGTTTCGAAAGCCCGGGACTCTGCTTTGACGGAGAGGCACCGGCCAATCGCATAAGGTCTTTGACGGAATAATCAAGGAGCACGTCGGTGCTTTCGAGATTGATGTTCAACTCATCGGACAAACTCGATCCCAGTTCCGTCGTAGAAAGGGAATCAAATCCGAGATCTGCGAGAGATTGATCTTCTTGTATGCGACTCACATCCACACCACAAAGCTCGGAAATGAGTCTGAACAGTTTGGCTTGTTGTTCATGCCTTTCGGACTCTTCAGTGGCCGAGTCAAGCGTCGAAGTAGCATTCGGATTCGATTTAGGTCTTGACACATGTATCTCGGATACAACTGGAGGCGCCGGCGCGACTTGTTTCCTCGATGTAACAGGGCGTTTCCTAGTGGCTCTCATGACATCAGCAGACACTATCTGGCACAATGCACTAAGATTCAATGTCTGAAGCTCATGATGCGAAACTGATTTGCCAAATTGTTCTTTGAGTTCATCAGAGAGCTCTATTGTCGCGAGTGAGTCAATACCAAGATCACCAATACAGGTGGTCTGGGGGATAAAGTCTGCTGGTGCGCCAATGTATGTGGAGATTATCGTCCTCAATCGAGTTTCGAAATCTTCAGATCCGTCTCCAACCAAGGAAGAAGTGGTCGAATAATCTGAAGTGTCTGAAGAATCATCGGATGTTAGCTCCGGAAGATTCTTGCTTGTGATGGGCGTGTAACTGGCTGGAGAAAGGGGACGACTCGGTTCTGAATCGATGTTCGATCCATTCGCTACATCGAGTATCTGTTCAACTCTCGCTATCTCTATTCGATGAAACTTGGCCCCGATCGCGGTCATGGCGATCTCGTTGTCTTTGGTAAGAACAAAGACGTCACCTGTCGCATGTTTTCCATTGACGAGGGAGAAGATAGCATAGACATTCCATTCCTTAACGGAGTCGAAGTCGCAAAGTTTGGACATGGTGACGCTTTCGAGTCCCGAAGTTATGAACACCTGGTCTCTACCGCAGGCCGAACTGCTATTTATGAGCAAGCCGGAGACCTGGAGGAACATATCGATAGAAACAGTATCGCAGTGTTTCCGCACCGCCTTTTCGTCGCTTCCGATGTACCTGTCTGGTATGCGAATCGTAGCTAGCGCCTCATTCTTGTTGATGATAATGCTCTCAATTCCTTGTGACGATTCGGCGTAATGGACGACTTTAGAGAAGAGCTGGTATGCTCGTCCACACATTATCTTCTCGGAAGTGGGGCTTGATCGAATCGAATCAATGCGTTCGGCTAAGAGAAGTTTGTATGTCGAAAACCTAGGCTGCTTAGCCAAGTGTAGTTTGCCTATTCCATGAACGATTGCGCGATCTGAGCTATCTCCAGAACCAAGAGAGCTAGAAAGAACAAAACTCCAGCTGTCTTTATCTGTTTCTTCTAGACTCAGTTCTATTTCGCGGTCCATATTGAAACCTAGTGGTGATTTGAAGGAAAGATCCTCAAACACCATTGACTTAGATCCAAGTTCTGAGCCGAGAAGCTGGATTGCCATAGCCGCGCATTCCATGTACAGAGACGCTGGGAAAAGTGGCCGACCTCTGACTGAATGGCCGCTAATGAGCTTCTGGAAACGATTTGCCGAACTGTTGATAACAAACTTCTCCGTATTACCAGCAGACCTAACATGGCGTAGTAGATGCATAGGAACATCCCCTGGAGCGACCTCCACTTTTTGGATTTGAAGATTTTCGAGTTCTCGCTGGATTTCAATGGCCCTGTCGATGTTATCCAGCCACGCTTTGGTCTTCTGAAACTGATAAGGCGGCAGCCAGATGGGTTCCACGCCAGCATCAGCCGGGGATAGGAAAGGCCAAGGAGTAATATCATGCCCTTGCTTCCAAAGATCGATAGTAATTTGGGAAAGAGACTGAGAAGGTTGTTCAATACCAGCCGTCTTGATGGCGTGAAATGAATGCCCCTCTGGATCAGATATAGCACGCTTGATCATTGGGACGATAGATGAATCAAATCCTGCCTCCAGCCAGATGCAATCTCCATGACGCTCTTCAATCCGCCTTACCGCATTAACGAAGTAGACTGGTTTCCGGAGGTGCGATACAATGTGCTCGGCAGTGATTGAATCAGTTTGCTGTTGTGTGCAGGGCTCGATGAGAATGGATGCCTCCTTGAAAGATAATGATTGCAAGGACTCAGAGAAATCTGTACGGAGGGGCTCGGTGAAAATAGAGTGGAAGCCATGGGTGACATCAACCCTTTGACTCTTGACTCCCTTAAAAGAAGGATTAGTGGCCAAAACCTTTTCCACGTCGGCCACTGCCATCTCGTTTCCGACGACAACCTGGTTAGTTGGAGCATTGAAGCAAGCAATCTCGAGAGTTTCGTTACCAACGGCTTCGATGATGCTTTCCACAACCGAGACTGGTGCAAAGACGGCAAGCATAGTACCCTTATCTGGTCCCCACTTGGTCACCATAAGCTGGGCTCGAACGGCAACAAGCTTGAGAGCATTCTCGAGGGAGAGCACACCGGATACAGCCAACGCTGTTAACTCTCCAAAACTGTGTCCGATCGTGCAAGCGGGCTTGACACCTGCATCGATCCAACACTTGGCACTCGCGTACTGAACGGCCATGGTACCTGTCTGCAACAAAATAGGGTCATCAATAGCGGTGTTTTGGAACACGGCTGGAATTATTGATGGATATCCAAGCTCTTTCAGGGTAGCATCACACTTATGAATATAGTGTTGCAGTCTAGGATTGAACTCATAGAGATTTTCTGATAAGCCAATGGCCTGCTTGCTCTGACCGGCGAATGCAAGAACCACTTTTCTAGATGCCCGAGGGATCTCGCAAGGCGAGATGTCCGTACAAAGCTGGTTGAGTAGGCCATCGATGTCGGAAGCGGTTGTCATCCAAGCCATAGGTTGTCGCTTTCGCCGTTCAGATAGGGTAAAAGCAAGATTTGCTAGGTCGATATTCGTTCGACGAATGTGAGACTTCAATGACTTTATGTAAGCCAACAGACTCTCTCGTGTGAAGGCAGAGAGAATGATGGGGTACACGGTGCTCGTATGTGAAAGGGCTCGCCTAAGCATACATGTTAGTTTTGGCAGTCTTAGACCTAGGAGTAACTTACGCTTTGACAACATCCTTCCGAGGTCCTTCGCAAACAACAACTGCTGCATTGCTTCCAGCAGCTCCATAGTTGTTGACCAAGGCTGCTCTGAAAGGAGTGTTCCATGGCTCCAGATTCCTTGCTATAGTGATCTTATCCGGGCCCAAAGTGGGTATCTTCGGGTTCAATGCATTGAATGAGGTATGAGGCGGAATGGCTTTCTTCTGCAACATGGCAATGACTTTGACGAGTCCAGCAACGCCTGCTGCTGATTCCGCGTGACCAGTGTTGCCTTTGATCGAACCAAGATACACCTTGTTTGGCCGGTCTGATGCACCAAACACCTCTCTGATGCTGCTGATCTCCAATGGATCACCTTGCGATGTGCCAGTACCATGTGCCTCTATGTATGAAACATGGCGCGGGCTCATCTTGGCACCTTTGAGAACTGACTTGTACAAGTCCACCTGGGCTGGTGGATGCGTCAGTGTCAGGTTCTCCGACAGCCCTCCTTGATTAGTGGATGATCCTGATATGACAGCCAACACCTGGTCGCCATCTGCTAAAGCCTGTTTTAGGGGCTTTAACACTACAAGTCCAGCTCCCTCGCCTCGGCAATATCCATCAGCCGACTCGTCAAATGGCTTACATTGACCAGTAGGGCTGAGGAAACCAGCCTTTCCAAGATTTAAGTAATTGTGGACACTGGATATGATGTTCACTCCGCCAGCGATAGCCATTGGACATTCACCAGATTGAATGGAACGGCAAGCTCTGTTGATAGCGACAAGGGAGGACGAGCATGCAGTGTCGATGACTTCAGCCGGCCCGGTCCAGCCGTAGCAATGACTTAGCTTCCCGCACAGAAACGCCCGAATAGTACCAACTGCTGAGTATGCAGTAGGTGGGTAGGCGTTCGTGTTATCCGCATACTCGACGTAACTTGCTCCGATAAAGCAGCCGACGTTATCGCCGTTTTCCCGACGATGTCTGCGGAGGTAGCCCGCGGAATCAAGGGCTTCGTATGTCAGCTCTAATAGGATGCGTTGTTGTGGGTCCATATTGGCCGCTGCTTTGACATTTGAGCGGAAAAAGTTCCAGTCAAATTCGTCTGCTCCATCAATGAAGTTGCCGAACCATTTCGGTTTCCATTTTTCATTCTGCATTGCGCGAAAACTTTCATGCATGGGTACTCTGTCGAGGCGAATCTCTTCGCAAGTCGATACTCCGGCGGAAAGAAGGTTCCATAGTTCCTCAAGATCGTTCGCCTTTGGCAGTCGACACGCAGCTCCAGTGATGGCGATGGCGCCTTCGGGGCTAGCGTCGATTGTTAGCATTATGTTGATTTGACCAAACATGAGATCACAGCGCCCTCATGATCTTGGAGTTACCTACTATTCGTACTCATCTAATGAGGCATTCTGAATGGCAGTGTAAGCTTCCACCTTCCTTATCTGTAAACGAGCATTGTGGAACGGCAACAGAGAAACAACATCCCCGAAGCCAAACAACACGAATGTGTGGGATTCGTTATTGGTTCCTGATAAATCTCGTGATATCTCCTTCAGTAACTGATACCACTCGCAGCGGGAGGCAAGGGTGGCGTTTATAGCCTCGTAGGTTAGTGAACAACCTTGTACCAACTTGCCATTCAAATTCGATCGCACAGGGACTCGTAATTCCCTGGCGTCGGGCAGGCTCATTTCGGCATGCCTCTGACATATACCAAATAGCACCTTGACTAAAGACGCATTCTCCGGATTGTGTACTTTGCCGCGGATATGAATGTCGGTGACCGTCAGGCCCTGATCACGTGCCCTGTCGGCCACTTTCTTGAGCTCGAGTGCTGGGCCTACGATACTGATATTTCTCGGTTCTGTTACAGCTGAAACATAACACTAGTCACTGTGAGCACGCATTTATTGGGAAACAAGGAAATTGGGCGACCATGTGACAGGCATCGCTGGACCGGAAGATACAGCCGGAGCGAATGAGACGATGGGTAAGACGGGAAGTTACGCAAGCACCGATGAAAATTGACTTACTCCAGGAATATCCCTGATTAAATCGGTTCCCTGCTGAGAGTATTTCAGCCGCACCGCGATTGTTGTCACTCCAGGAACTGATTCATCGTCGTCAAGTTGGCCAAATGCTCCCATCGCAAGGGCCAAGCGCACAGCTTTACTAGCAAGGCGAACGATGTTTTCTTCATCTTCAGCGCAAGCAATGGCGAATGCTGTGGGGAGACCTCCACAATATCCCTGGGCACCGCCACTGCTTTTCAGACTTTGTAGCACTTCAGCGTGCGTGAGGTTGTGAGTTTCGAGCCATTGGAAGTATTGGCAGACGTGAATGACGACCAGCAAAGGCAAGGAAAGAATACCAGACATTGATTTGGACACAGGTTCAGATATGCCTTGCGTAACCCATCGCTCTAGATTAAGGACATGTTGCGGGCCTGTTGTGACTTTTGCAATGTCTGCATACTCATTGCAGAGTGTGGCCCATGTGTCTTTCAGCGATATGATTGTCTCTGAAAGAGGTTGTAGGCGAGGGTTTTGGATGAGGTATTTTTGTAATTGTATCAGGTATGCCTCTGTTGGAGCCTTGCTTTGCGGGCAAAAGAATGCTACCGAAGGTGTCGACGGGTTGAACTGGCTCTGCATCGCGGCAACTTTCAACTTCGAAAAAGTCTCTGGGTGAGATAAGACACGTGAGAAGTGGCAGCTGAATTCTTGACTCTCACTTTCATGATCGTCCCCTTCGCTATTTGTACATCTACGGCGGTCCCTCACATACGAGCAACCCCACTGTGCGCTAAGTTTGTATCTTGCTCACCTCGTATATGGGGTCTCTATCATCTTCGCTAAGGTTTCCGGACATAGAAACTACTGGTAACTGATTGTCTTTGCTTTTTTCTTCATCAAGGCTAGGTTGCGAACTTCGCTGTCAAAAGACGCCGAGTGACTTGCCGTGCAAAGGGTCAGGTAGCAGAAAGCCACCGAACCCGGGTGAAGAGCGGTGCACGAGTCAAACTGGGCCGTCCCTCCCGTGTGTCTGTAAATCCAGGGTCGTAACGAGTCCGTTTTTTAAACCCCGCAAATGCCCATCGTCGATCATGTGGGCAACTCCACTGGGTCCACTTGTTGATCTTATTGCCAACAATTTGTCTTCTAAGGCATGTTGACACGATGAAAATAAAGCGGATCTCATTTGACACATTGTATTATGTCCTTTCTTGCGAGCAGTGGGTGTTTAATAATGATAAAGGCTATCTGGGATAACTGGGCTTATTCATATTGCCTTCATGGTTGGATGGCTCGTTGGCAACGTCATCCTTGACCCACTCGGAAAACATCCGGTTCCGCTCCTCAAAAGGGTCTCTTATGTCCAATGTTCCCAATAGATAAAGAACTAAGATGACGTTGGATGTGCATTAATTGCGCTAGCACTAAGATGACATTGGATGGTTGAACCTTTAAGATACCACGCTAGTTATACGATGAGCTTGCCATTACAAATGGAGCCTTCATATCGAAGTCTACTACTTAAAATGGTCACGTTTTTTGGTTTCTTTGAAGTAGTAGGCTAGCTGACTTTCGCTGCATTCCTTGGTTTACTGGGGCTGTCAATACACAACGGCTGAGTCCGCTCTTGCTTCCTAGCTCGATAATGAAAGAAACAAGGCGCTCTCGAGGAGTCTGAAGACATGGAAAGAGAAAGATTGGATAGAAGGATTAGAGATCGAGACCTCTTGGGCCCAACCACTAGCGATTGAAGGGGAAAGCGCACGTCTCTCATGGGGCCAGCTGGCTAGTAACGCCGTTGTATGCATCATAGTGGATACTGAGATGACTGTCACCGTGCCCTCAGAAGCGTCGTGTTTGCTAAAACCCTATCCCCGATCCTGAGTAAGGCTGAAGCAAGGGATTCATGAGAGCTTCCATGGCGGATACCTTGCCTTGGTTGCTGTGTTGTTCATTTTTCATTTACCAATCTTGCGTCTTGGACAATGTTTGGATGAAATTTTGAGCGTTCAGACTCGTCCGTGCGGAGAAATGGTCACAGGAAGGTGTTCGTATTGAGTTCGAGGACGATGACACAAAGGCTTGTAGTTTATTTATGGTTGGTCTGTGCGCTTGCCTTTGGACAAAGTAGCACTTCGTACACAGTAGTCCGCCATGCGTCCCAGCGATCTTTGACCCTTGATCCGGTTCTTCGGGGCTTCTTTAAGGTTTGGTCCGAGCACCTTCACATCTTAGCAAGCTGTAAAGCAAAGCTCGTTTTAACCCCTTCATTTTAGGGGTTCGAGTTCAAACTTGAAGAAAAACGTATCCATGGGATGAATTAACAGGCACGCACCTTCTTGCCGAAGTCACCGAAAGCGGTCGAGGTTTCCACTGCAAGTTACGAGCGTCAGCTTTCCATTCCTACATGAGGCAAAGATAAGGCCAAGAGTAGCCGGTGAACATATTGATGGATCTCGGCATTTTCATGGTACAAATGGACTATTCGCGTAACTTCCTTCTCCACGCAAGTGGAGCGTATCATTTTCGGCGATTTAGTAATTAACATTCCTATTCCACCGAGGACGCGTGGACTTACGCATATCCACTAATGGCTCTTACTACTTGCGTCCTAGCACCAGCACTGCCCTATACGCAGCTTGCTTAGCTCCTCACATAAATCCGCCTTGCTGACGGAAATCCTGTAGCCAACCTGGATGGTCAGCTAAAGTCTGGTTCCATCCGTCATCTCCGTCCTGGTAAAAAAGCCTTCTTGATTCTCGTTGAAACATCTCGTCAGTAGGAATGATACCCAAAAGCATCTGCTGTCTCGCGAAGCGGCTGAGATGGTGGGTAAGCACTGTAGCAAAATCATAGTTGTTGTGTAGAGATGGCATTGTTCGAAGCGCAGCCAGAGAGTCGCTCAAGTCCTGCTGGTCCTGAAATGGTGAATCCTCCGGGGCAAATACGGACGCTGCTTCCTCTAATTGCAGATGCGAGATAAATTGCTTGGTGTGGTCAATTGAGCCTGGATTCGTCGCGGAGAAAGGGACTACTGTTTTTGCTTGATCTGCAATAAGATAAGGTGGGAATGCGTTAAGGACGCGAGCAGACACAGCAGGCTCAAAACCGTGTTCGCCTGTCCAATCGTCCATCGTCTTTCCTTCGCGGAAGTGCGCTGCCAAGTGATCTGCCCTTTCATCCCAGCTTCTCAAGATGGTATCGCAAATGCCGCAGCGAGACGTTATGGGACCTGACTCGAGCCTCCAATCATCAATAAGAGGAAGGGTATCTAGTCCATGGACGAGGCGGAGGTGTTGAACAAGGTGGTCCTTTCGGCGAAATATACGAGGCGTAGATCTGCCGTCATCACAAGCCTCGTGGTTATGCTGCTGCAAGTGGGTAGGGGTTGGGTCAAGGGCACTGCAGTATGCACAATGAACTCTGCCAGTCAGAGGCAGCACGACAGAAGCTCCATGCGGCGTACACACCCACTCCTCCATGTTCAGATGTAGTGACTTCTCATGCCGTGTCCAATCATACTTGGTTTTGAATGTATCGCAACAAAATGTACATTTGAAAATACGGTTTGGGTCATCTGCATTCTTGATCTTGGCCTTGCCCTTTGTACGTGTCCTACTAGCTTGACTGCGGCGTCTAGTTTGCGATGTAGCAGAATGACTTGAATTGGCCGATCGCAGCGAAGATTCACTCGCTGCACTGTCAAGACTAGTTGTTGATGATGGGCCTCGGTACTTTCGGAAAGCATTGTGACTTGAAGAACGACTGATCCTCGGTGCTATAGCTACGGGCCGGCCATCGAGAGCGTCGCATATAGCGGTGAAAGATGCCGCCTCATCTTCAGGTGGCGAATTGCGCCATCGCTGCATCGTTAAAGATTGCTCTTGTTCGTTTTCATATTGGGGGCTGATTGGTATGGCAATGGGACTAGATGTTCCTATTGATGTCCGTATCATGTACTTGCTGCGACGACGAGGAAGCGTGTGTTGTCGTGGTACAGGTATGTGTCGGTAGCCTTCGACTGCCTGCTTGGTGGTGAAATCCGTTGGATAGCTTCCCGAAGAGGTATTGCTTGATGACCCTAATTTGTTCCCTGCAAAGAGATCCTCGTAGTTCATGTTACTCGCCCGGGAGTTGATGCCGAACGTGTCGGGCGGCATGGATGTGGCAAGGGTCGCATCTTGTGTTACGTCTGTAGCCAGGAATTTCTCAAAGTAGGATGCATCTATTTCTTCTTCACTCCAAAGCGGAAACTGCCAATCATCGAGTTGCTGTTGGTCCATGGTGGGGGAGAGGGAGCGGGGGAGAGCCATCAATGAAGGAATCAGACCGAGACGGGCAGGACAAGGCCGTGAGAGAATAAAGGCTGGAACGGCACTTGTGTGCAAGAAGGTTCAGCGATATAAGGCGATAGGCCAACTGCAGCATCTCACGTGTATTCTCCATGAGGCGTGCGTATTATCTTCTCGCAAGGCGTAGGGCGTGAGGGAAGTGGGGGTAGCGGGGTGAAGGATTCGCGCTAGTGGCCCAGGGCGCCGGGCGCTGGAAACAATTCCTTCTTTCATCGCTTTGGAGCTCCAACTCCCACTAACCGCAGCTTGTCCTTCATCATGGACAGCGAGGGTGAGAAAATTCTGGAGGGTATCTTCGGTGCGTCAGCTCGTTCCTCACCGCTTCTCCTTCCTGATAATTGAGCAGCTGTTGCCAAGCCAACAAACGTCTCGTCTGCAGATGTTCTCCTCAAATTGCAGGAAACTTTTGCGCCATCAGCCACATTTGCGCCACTGCTCAGGACGCAACCCAAGCGTACCAGCAAATCGTCTGATCAGGTGTTTCGTCTCGGACACGGCGGGACTCTGGATCCCTTGGCTGCTGGAGTTCTTATTGTGGGCATCGGCCGTGGCACTAAACAACTCTCTAATTATCTATCTTGCAGCAAGACTTATGAGACAGTTGTGCTTTTCGGCGCAAGCACGGATACTTACGACTGTACTGGCTCCATAACCCAGGAAGCGGGATACTCGCACGTGACAAAAGAGTTGGTTGATGAAAAGCTTGGGGCTTTCAGAGGAACGATACAGCAACTGCCCCCTCTGTACTCGGCGTTGAAGATCAATGGTATCAAGGCTTGCGAGTACGCGCGTCAGGGGAAGGACCTGCCGCGAGAGCTAGAGAGCCGAGAAATGCATGTTGACGAGTGTACGCTGTTGGAGTGGTACGAGCCGGGACAGCATGACTTTGCATGGCCAGGCAAGGTCGAGCCCGCTTCAGCACCTGCTGCGAAAATACGACTGACGGTATGCTCGGGGTTTTATGTTCGCAGCTTTGCACACGATCTTGGCAGGGCGTGTGACACGTACTCGCACATGGCATCTTTGCTTCGAACACGGCAAGCAGATTTCACCACATCGAACCCACCTGAGCTGTCAAGTTTGACAAGCACGCTAACATATGCGGATCTGGAAGCTGGTGAACACGTCTGGGGGCCGAAGCTTAGACCACAACTTGATCGTTGGGTTACTGCTCATCCGGTCGTCCAAGGGCATGTCAATGGGAGGGATGCAAGTGTGAAGCGCAAGACCGAAGAGCAGCAAGCAAGACCGAGGCAACGGTTCCGTGGAGAGTGGGTGGCAAGCACAAAGAAAGAGAGGATTAAACAGCAAGGAGGCAAGTTCAAGGGTAAATGGGGAAGAAAACTTGCGGCCGACGGGGAGGCAAATAACATCACCAGTAACCAGTCGATGGTACCTGTGATCAACGATCAAAAACCATGAAGATGCCAATTTTTGCGAACAAGCCCGAGCATCGGAAGATCGAAATTAGCAGTGCGCGAACCTGAACGACGAAGCTCCACAAAACGATCGCGCCGTCAATTTCCCACGTGCGAGACTACCGGTACCAATCCACTACGGTAGCCTCGGTTTTATGATTCCAAAAGCCACCATGCCGGTCCTGACGCAATAACGGAGTCTTTCAGCTCGACTGGCTGGGGCTCGCGATTCATGTTCCGCACTTGGGCATGGCGAGTCCGAAGTCCTTGGCTACTGTTTTGTCCTAGCACTGCACAGCATACATACATAGTGGCGGGACAGCGGACGCAGAGTCCCATGGCTGGGACGCCGACCGGCCGGACCTCATGTCATTATATTCCAAACTACATCGGAAATAGAAATATCAAGCGATTTCGTACCGCTGGACCGGCGGTTCGGTCGTTGCATTGCGGGCATTACCATATGCAGATGTTCCCACGTTCACATTTACTCTGGGGCTGAGTGGACGCCTTTCGGGGATAGAAAGTTAAACGAACTTGGCAGCGTTCTGCTCGTGCAATACCCGTCGTATGACGGCAAGCACAAAGTATCTATGGTGTATGGCTGTCCGTTCATGTTGCCAGCGGGTGGCTGCTTGGTGAAAGCTTGGTAGAATGATACACGTTTGTAGTGCCTAGGCCAGGGACAAGCAAGTATGTAGAGCAGGGGGTAACAAGACAGGAGGAAACATACGGCGACGCAGGGCGCAACCTTGTTATCCACTGGGAGTTTTGCTAATCTCATGCCGTTGCGTGTACACACTAAGGCACTGGTCGAGAAGTTGATCGGCGGGAGCGAAGACTGACCCGATGTTTGGGATTTACGTAGCGTGACGAACAGTGGGTCGCCTGGATTGGATCGCCGGCCAACCCCGCGGACCCGCCAAGTCCCCAACACTGTACGCAGCGAGTCAAGCAATCAATATCAGCTCTTCTCGAACAGATTCTTCCCCCATCAGTGCCAATGAATGCACTGCAAGCAACGCCTCCGAAGCCCGCTAAAAACGCTTCCTTTAGCATGTGGGACTATATGTCGACCGCCAGGTTTTTTCACCTCCTTTGATGACGACTCGTCATCACCCATGATTGCGCTATCGGCCATTGAAGCTAGCTCAAAGTTTAAACTTTGGTACCCCGAAGGTTGATATCAGCAGCCGGTCGTTTCTGGAGTTGCCCTCTTTCAAGCCATTCGGATGCTGGCTGTTTTGCATTCTACACTACCCGACTGCCGCTCAAAGGGTCCGAAAGCAACTGATTTGCCGCCTGGGCATGCGTTAGACATGCAAGCTGGATGTGCTTTGGACGAGTTACGAAAATCAAATCCCATGCCAATAGTGTTTCGTCACTCTTCTGAAAGACGAATCATCGCCTGTTCGTCTTCTGGCCCACAACAGCGTGCGTCACCAAGGTCAATGTATACTGGGGCCACCGAACGGGATTTGCAACAACACCTTGTCATTGTTTCTATTAGACGGCAAATTTCCTTAGCCTTGGACAACAATCAAGTACTTGCCTTGGCCGCAAGGGTCAACGCTAATGGCGATCTGGTACCCCGTGGATCATGTCCCTGATGCGAGACATGGACGGCCCGAGTAACATTCCTCGGACGTGTGACTCGCGGCAGTGGAATACCTTTCGCCTGTGATTAGCTTTTCATTCTCGCTTCAACTACTATATGCAGCTGTGGAAATGTCAAACATGCGACAGACGCTTATTCTTGCTTTCCCCTCTTTTCCCTCTATATCCAGTCGAACCCCATGTATCTCCACTAAGTATACCACCGTGTGGTTACTCGTATCGTAATGGAGATCGTGACATCCATTGTAAGCTCATATACCTGCTTACAAGAAAGCGGCCTACTTACCCACTACAGGCGATCCAGTCACTCTTGCTTGGCCTAGCATTTGGTGTCACTTGTATGCGATGTTGGATCCGCGTTCGCCTCGAGCGACGAGGGATGACACTGGTCGACTGGCTCGTATGGGGAGGGTGGTTATGCGCCCTTGGATGGTTCAGTTGCTCGACCAAAGCGCTATACATTCTCATCGATCATCCGCTGGACGAAGAGACACGAAGCGATTCAGTTGATTACCTCAAGGTATGCGTAAACCACCAGGCAAAATGCAGAGTAAATAGAAGGCACAAAAGCTGACTGGAGTGTGATTAGACCGTCTTCGCGTCCGTGTACTTCTTCGACACTGGGCTTTACTTCCCCAAAGCATCCCTTGTGGCTTTCTACTGGTGGTTAATCCCATCGGGCTTTCGACGCCTACGAATCGCAACATACATCACTGCCGGTATTGTAGCTTGTGCTTTTCTCGCGAGCATATTGACGGATACCCTGATTGCACCTAAGATTTCTGACAACTGGTATGACATGACCCCTGCGATGTTCCCAAATACATATTTCTAAACAGCAATGACAGGTCCATTGAAAACCAGCTCAATTCGACCTGGAACACATACGCCAACTTGGTGGTTAATTGGGTCCTTAACTTTGCCACTGACCTGCTATGTATGTGTGCGTCTGGACCCCCATTACTGAATTGTCTGGCTAACGAGCAATCAATTGCAGTGTTCATCCTCCCTTTCTTCATCGTAAACTGCCTAAAACTACGGAAACGACAGAGGATCGGTTTGGTCGGCGTTTTCTCGCTCGGCGCTATCACAATGGCAATTAGTTTGGCTCGCTTCATCGTCTACAACATGGACTACAACGTTAGCGATGCAGATGGAAGTGAGTTTGCCGCTGAAAAAAGAAGCAGAAAATCTCTCGAGGATTTTAATTGCTAACAAGTGCCACTAGATCTCTGGTGTACCGCCGAAATGTGCACAGCCATCATTGTCGTCTCGCTGCCCTTTTTCAAAACACTCATCATCCGATCCAGTACCCCCACCACCACGAGCCGCAGCAACACCGGCTACATTTCCGGGCCATCCAACAGAGCCCACTTATCTGGCGAGGAGACGTACTCATCGCATGTGCAGGGTGGCCCCTCGGACGACGAAGTGGAACTTACTTTTCAGGACCGAAAGCGAAGTCTTACACCCCCTGGAATGGTCGATGAGGTTCGAACGCAAGATGGAAAAGATAATGTGATGATTACGACAAAGTGGACAGTTACGAGGGATATGCTGTAATTTGAAAAAAAAACGTGTACGCAATTGCGGGCTGGGATAAAAGTCGATGTGAGAATAGATAAGCTGTATATATGTGGCATGCCACGCAGATGACGGAGATCACCATTGGATTATTTACCATATGTATATTGTTATTATTTTTTTTCAATTGCTAATGATACCTTTCCAGGAGCGAGTACCCTCGAATTCTTTCACGTTACCCTCACACTTTTTTTTGGCTCTTACAACAGTCCATGTGTCAAATCACATACCACTTATAAATCCGATTACACCATTCCCCCTCCCCCCTGGACTACAAGAACCCAGTCCCACCATCCCACTTGGCCCACCCTCGCCCTGGGAATACGAGCCCAATTCCACGTGTGCGGCTTACCCGTCTTCCCCCCCCCTTCCTTCGTTAGCCCTCTCTTGACGAGATGGAAAAAACTAGCGTTTTGCCATGCTTAACCTTAATTTGACTTTGGGGCCGCTTGCCAAGGGAAATTGCGCCATGGTGGGTGTACTGGCGCTGTGGGGGTTATGCCAAGGTGGTTGTGGGCGATGTGAAGGATTGGAGTTTCGGGGATATATGGCCGACGAGATTGGGGTATGGATCTGATGAGACTGGCTGCATGGTGGAAGGTGGGGGGGAGGGGGGTTGGTGCTAGAGGTTAGGCGGGCATGAGATACGCATACGCTTGTATTCGGGACGGTTTGACGTATGCAGGGGTTTTCGGGGTCTGGGTTGGTGAGTAAACGGACTCGTGGGACCTAGTGTTGCCTGGTGTGGAGGTGGGGGACGTTAATTCTTGAGGTGCGTTCTAGGAGGGATGCTTTGATGGTGACGACTATACAGTCTCCTAGTATCTGTAGCTGTGTGGTAGGCTTAGTGCTGGATCCAGCGTCTATGTATATCTTGTTTGTATGCTTTCAGATCTGCGGGGCTGTTTACAAATTTTTACGTTTTAGGTGGATAGGAAAGAAAGGAAATATGGAAGGGCGGTAGATTTTGCTTGTAGTTGGAATCAAGTGAGCTGATTGTGCAAATATATTGTCCCTTGTTTTGATAGAAGTATCGGATCTGTTATGATGTATATTGATATAATCTCCATACTGAATAGTGCATACTAGAAAACCAAAATATCAGGTGTTCGGATAACTAGTATAGACTTGTAGCCCTAGGGGCTCCGGTAAGAGATGCTATTGGGATTGATACGAATTAAAAAGAAGATCCCATCGACTGCTACACCCGATACTTTTGTTAGTCGACTCAGCACGTACCACATTCAACTGTCAAAAGATAGTTGGGACGGGGTCCAATGGGTTTACAGCTAGCAAGGACGGTGGAATTCAGAAGGGCTAGCGCCGTGATCCTGTAAAGTTTTCGTCTTGGAGAAAAAGGGTTACATCAAGGGACACAAAGTTGTTTAAGAGGGAGAGGGAACTATATATCCCTTGGCCATTCAATTCTAGCTCGTTAAAAGCATCTCGTATTTGTGGATTTGCACGTTAAGTTAGAGGATACGATGCAATATATAAAGTTCCTTGGTCTTCTCCACCAAAGCACAAGAGTACCACGTATCCAAGGACTTGGAACAAAGGATATCTCTCTGAGGCTGACATGGGCCCTTTTACGACAAGAGCCTCTTACTTGTTGAGACCATATTACTGTCCAGTGTCGAGGGGTTTGTTGACTTGTGACACTAGACATGACCCTCTTATATCAGAGCCGGGCAGTGCTGAATGGCTGTTACCGGTTGTCCTGTTTTTTTTTCATACCTCGCCCCACGTGAAACGGGAAAAGGCTGTTCGTACTCCTCATACATATATTTCGCACTTATCCAAGACAGATGGATGGTGGAAGGACTGAATGGTTGTCAGCCTCAGATCGGCCCCCCCAAACTGGGAGGCTAGAGTGGGGCGGTGCAGAGTGCATGCAGCCAATCGGGGCGTGTGGCCAGACATCCCCGATGCAGCCAACACAGCAAGCGCCGTCATGGCCGAGTGCAGTTCTCTCCTGCTGACCCACGCACGCACGCCAACATCGCAGCCTGACGCCTCCCTTCACGCCGTTCCTGCACATCGCATATCGTCCTGCCCTGCACCGCCACAAACCCCTGTGAACACCCAACCTCGCTCTCTGCTGTCGCCGTCCTGGATGCCGCCGCTGTGATGATGATACTGCCCGCCACCCGCCTTGGTCCCCTGCCAACTCTGCTGCTGGTATGGGCGGCCTCTGTCGCCGCCAGCGACACAATCACCTCGGGCAAGATCAAGGTCCAGCTGTTTGCTGCGCCTTCGTTCCTAAGCGAAGTCAGCGTTGACGCGTACAACAACCAGTGTCTCTCACTCGATAACAACCTGTACGTACCCATGCGAGACCCACGCTCCCCTCACGCCGGTCCCCTACTAACACCAGGTCAGCATCGACGGGCGCGTGCAAAGCATATTGGTCGGCGGCCACGATGTCGCGAGCGTCCTGCAGCGCGACGACTTCTGGAACTGTAGATTTTACGAGTGAGTTCGCGACGAGGCTGACGGTGGCTGGTGGGCTAGCATTGGCTGACAGGAGAACAGCAATTACGACTGCAAAGGCGACATGGACATGGATTCGTACCTCACCGTTCCTGACGGCGTAAATAACCTTGGTAGCATCGGCTGGGGCACCAAGATCCACAGCCTCAAGTGCCGCAATTTCGCGTCCACCGACGATTGAAGCGCATGCGAAGGAGAAGATGCGAAACGTCTAAAACGAGCAAAACACAGTACCAACTGTACACCAAACACATGACGGACGACCGTCAATGCGGCGCTTGGGTCAAACCCATTCCACCGTCGAAATACGATACCAGCGCCGCGAATAATACCCACGCCACGCGGAAGAGCCTGTAAATACCCTCACGACTGGGAAATGTTTGGAGGCCCAATTTCTTGTAGAGAATTGATTTGAAGGTTAAATAGCGGTTCAGAGATGGCAGGGCCCCTGTGTAAATAGGGCAATAGGGCCAGGAGCGGACGATGGAGCATAAATATAGAGGAAGATAGCATATATGGCTTGCTGGCGATCGAAGTGCTCGATGCCCCAGCCATAGTAGATACTGTACATAGTCGTAGTAAAGCATGAATCGTAATAGAAACATCAAAGATTAACCAGAGTCAGAGGCACTGAATGTGGATACTTGGTAATAGGGTTTCAGAGGAAGTTGCGACCCAGATGTTGCCCTTGGTGCACGTGATGTGATAATTGGCAGACTGCAAACAAAGAGAATGATGTCAGGACCAAAGCAAGTCAACCGGCTCTTTCTTTCCTCCCTTCCTCTTGACTCAATCCATGTCTAACTTTGTACAATTCGCTCTACTCAGCCATAACATCGTGAGAGAACAAGTAACCCCGGGTATCTCCAGCGCGAAATCCCAATCGCCAAACGCCATATTTACATTATAACAAGTTTCCCCCTCTCTTTCCAATAACTCGTTACAAATCAATCAGATCCGGCGCCTCGCCCGACCCTACGCCACGCAGCAGAACAATCATGTTCCCGCTCTGACACGCCTCCCCGAGCTTCTCGTTGAACTTGAGTAACCTCCCGCCCTCGACATGAAAGACGCGTAGCTTCTCCTCTTCACCGCCGCCCCGATTGTTCACATTCTGGACTTGTAGCGCTTTGGCGGCCATATCGAGCACGCGACCAACTGTCCATTCCTTGTTGTAGAAGAATTTGCCTGTTGGATACTTCGCTTTTGTTGTGTCGGCCGAGGCTTCGACATGCAGATATATCCGTTTCTCCTGGGGAACACTGGCCTCGCCTTTTGCCGTGCGCTTCAGCGCGTTAAGTTCGGCTTGGGCTGATGACGCCGCCGATGCCTTGCCCAGGCCTAGGAATCCTGATTTCTTGGGCGCGGCTCTCCGCTTCTCGTCTTCCTTTTTCTTGTTCTCCGCCCACGCTTTGAGCTTTGAGAGCGCCGTTTGCGTACGTACTTGGACGGAGTTTTGTGGGCGCGCGCCGAGCGGTGTCAGGTTCTTGCAGTCGTGGTCTTCTTCGAAACGGTGCTTGAGACAGTAGCGGCGATTGCAGCGGGTGCACTGTACGCCTTGGGTACGAGCGGTGTCGATAAGCGTTTTACACGAGACACTTGCACACTGTTGTTCGTGGGTGAGTAGTGTGGGTTTTGGTGCCAGCTCTTCCGAGCTGCTCTCAACTTTGCTCCTTGCCCACTGGCCTTGCTTTGGGCATTTATGTGCGCTCTCGGTACGGTGGTCGAGACAGAATGTCCTAAGTAGTATGTTAGCGTCATTCGATAACATCAAGTCGTATTTGTATCCCATACCCTTTACAGCTCTCACAAGGGAACGGCAGGAAGTCAAGGACATTGCAATACTCCATCTGGCAATGCGCCCCGATAGCTTCTACTTCGCCCTTCATCTTGGTGTTTGAATCGTTCGCGGATGACATGATGGTAGCGACAGTATCCAGGTTAAGTATGCTAATATGAGGGAGATTACAAAAAACACCGTTGTTGAGCGAGATGTCTGGAAATGTAGTAAGAAGTCGCAGGAAGCGTCGAGAAGGTCGCAAGCCTAGGCAACTAAGCTGACGATTGCTAATACTAAGTCGGAATGCTTGGGACAGTTCCGAAGGTGGCACGCTAAGTAGTGTCAGGGTCCGAGACTACGCACGTCTTCAGCCACTGCCGCCACACACATACACCGAATCTCCTAGTTGTCATTTGGATCAACTCGGCGCTTCCTCGCGACACATGCACGACATGCTACCAATCCTACACGACGAAAACTACCATGTCATTGGTTCTTGATTCCGGTCATGAACCCTACCCATTTTTCTGCAGCCGCGCAGCTGCTGACGCGCAGGGTTTCAGGAGCGCGTCTACAGGCGAGCGAATACCTATGCTTTTGTTGCCGCCTGACATGGCAGGATCGATCTATTCAAAGTGATTTTTCATGCGGAGTAGCCTTGTCTCCCTTAATACGAGAGTGACAGCGCTGCTCTGGCAAGGTATAATCACGATTATTCTTGGTTTGGTCGCTGGTGTTCGGACACTTTAATTTATCATCCTTATTTTCTTTATCTTGTATTAACGGATTTAATCATGAAAAATCTATTTCGAAAGCATTTTCGCTTGAAAACTTCGAATACGACAGCCGCACATGGTGGCTTACAGAGATCGGTGAAGCCTGACTATGAATACAAGACTTTGCCCGAAGGCCGTGTACGTCTCCTCGTCTTGCTGCCAGGACCCCAAGAAGCTGCGATCCGCTGTTCCTTAAGACCCGTTGCTCTGGCCGATTTTGAAGACAGATTTACCGTCAACTCGAAATTCGAACTTGGGATGTATGAAGCCCTTTCGTATTGCTGGGGAGAATCAAAGGAAACGAAGACGATTGACTGTGATGGTCAGTCACTCGAGATCAGGGCCAATCTGGAAAACATACTCCGCTATTTTCGATATGAAGACAAAACGCGAGTTATGTGGGTAGATGGTATATGTATCAACCAGAAAGACGATACAGAAAGGTCACAGCAAGTTTCTCTAATGGGCGTAATTTACTGGAAAGCCACTAGAGTACTCGTATGGCTTGGTGAAGAAGACAAGAGCGCGAAGCAAGTCAGTGCTGCGAAAGCGTTTGAATTCATACGCAGATGCAATAATTTTAAAGAAGCGGCGGCAAATAATAGACGTGGTCATCCAACTACGATGCCAGAAAAGATAGAAGATATTCAGGGGAGCAAAGAGGCTGTCTCATGGGAGTCAGTTCGACGATTGTTCACTCGAGACTGGTTCACGCGAGTGTGGGTGGTTCAAGAGCTTGGTTTGGCAAGAGCTGCGACGTTCTATTGTGGAGACGCCTCAATCGATTTCTGGGACCTTGATCGCTTTTGCGAATTCCTCCTGTTCCACGCTCCGCTGAGTCAAGCTCACTACAAACTCAATTTGCAAACCCTCAACCTGGCCCTCAAATACCAAGAGAGCACACGTGGTAACCACCGGTTGGAGTTCGGCAACGATCCTCATCTTGCGGAAGATCTATGCGACGTTCTGGCATCAGCAAGGGGCTTGGATTGTACTGATTCCAGGGACTCCATATACGCCTTCTTAGGTCATCCCTCCGCTTTCAAACAACAACTACTGGATTCAGAGCCTTATATGTGGTACCCACGGAACTTTTACAATAACAGGCCAACCGTCATTCAGCCCGACTACAAGAAAAGCACGACCACTATGGATGTGTACTTCCGATTTGCATGTAAAATGATCGAGCAGTATGGACTAGGGATGAAACTTTTGCGGTACATTCAGCACAACCAAATGTCAATCGCAGAAGATGCTCCATCTTGGGTGCCCAGGTGGAATATTTGCGAGGCTTCGCCATTTACGAGAGCTGTAAACTTCTACACTGCCGCTACACACTTGCCGTCCACTTCGTTTGAGATTTCACGTGGTGCTAAGTTTAAATCCAGGGCTCTCAGCATCAAAGCCTATTGCATGGGATCAGTGTACTGCTCAATGTTGATTCCATATGAGCATTATACAAAGCATTTACCAGACAACGAAACAGAAATTACACAACCTCCCGACGCAGACGATGACTACTACAGTCCTCTGGAAAGCATAATCGAGACACTAGACGTGCTCAAGAACGACTTCGCAACCCAAAAGTACTGCGATTTGAAAAGCCTCTCAGCCACATTGACAGGGGGACTGACATGCAACGAAGAAGGCATACGCGAGCTTATCAATGAGAAGAATGCAACACAACACTACTACGATTTCTGTGCCTACCGCCACGCCAAGTCCAAAGATACCAGAAACCCTGAAACAACAGACGACGCATCCTCGACTCTTTCTCTCTCTCAAGACTACAAAAAGGGCGACGACAAGCGATACACCGCCGCGTATCTTGCTGAAAGCACCCGCTGCTTCCTAACTCGCGACGGACGACTGGGACTCGGACCCAGAATCACAGCGGGTGGAGATCAGATTTGGCTTCCTATGGGCGCTGATACGCCTTTTGTGCTGAGACCGCTTCATGGTGGCAAGTTCAAGATTCTTGGACAAGCTTACTTGCATGGTGTTATGCAGGGAGAGGTAGTTGCGGATTTGACTGAGGATAATTTTGAGGTTGTGAAACTGGTTTGAGTGGTGAGGGGTACCTGGTGATGAAGATGTTCGGGACATTTTTCCAAGGCAAAGGGTTTTTTCTTGGATACATCGTAAAAGTGAACTTGGCAGTGATGTTATCGCATGTGAAGTTGAAGTGCATTTGTTCGTTCGAGATACTTTCTTCCTCTCACATCTGTACCCTCTTGAAGTTGCAAAATGTACGAACTCGATTAGACATCATCACTTTCTTTGAACCCAAAACTTTTGCAAATTTCGTAATGCCTACTGCAAAGTAGTCAAAGGGTATATTCCACTCACTCCTCACAACCAAATGCTCCCTGTTCTGCAGTTATATTCATCAAGACCAATCTCGCAACAAAGAAGAAGAAGAAGAAGAAGAAGAAGAAGAAGTAGAAGGCCATACATCACCATTGCTGCACCTTCTTAAAAACGCCCATAGCAATGCACACAGGAATGCTTCCAAAACCCCAAAACACCAATATCTAATACGCCCCCTCGATAACCCCCTAACCCTCAAAACCCCCAAAAATATAAACACTCCAAAATCACAACTCTACATCCACATCCACATCCGCCACCCTCTTCACCAACCCCCTAATTTTCGGCCACAACTCGGGAATCCGAAACGGCTTGGAAATCGCATCATCCATCCCGGCCGCCAGCGCCTGCTCCACCTGCTCCATCCTTGCATTCGCACTAACCGCCAGTATAGGGAGGCGCAGAAATTGGCGGTGAGCAGGGTTGTTATTGTTACTCTCCAGGGACGAAGTGGAATACCGGTGTTTAGCCAGCGAGGAGGAAAAAGGGTCGTTGTGGTTTGAGGATTGAATGGGGGATACAGAGATGGCGGAGAGGCGGCGGAGTTGCGAGAAGGATGCGGAGGGGGAGGCGAGGAGGCCTTGGTGTTCATAGTCGCGGATGAGACGGGCGCAGGTGAGGCCGTCCATGATGGGCATTTCGATGTCCATGAGGATGATGTCGAGGTCGTGTTTGGCGGTGGAGTCTGGCTGGGTGGGACTGTTGCTGTTGCTGTCGGAGTCGGGCTGTTGCCAGTAGATGCTGTTTTTGAGCCATTCGAGGGCTTCCTGGCCGTTTCCGGCGACGCTGACGTTCCATTTGAATTTCTCGAGTTGTTTTCGCAGGACTTTTTGGTTGACGAGGTTGTCTTCTACGATGAGGACGTTGAGTTTGATCATGCGCATGGCGTCTTCGCTGGTTATTGTGCGGTCGAGAATGGGTCGGGCTTGTGATGCTCGTCCAACGATCTGATCGGCTGGCGGATATGCCAGTCGGGTGCTGATGTAGAATGCGAATGTTGACCCTTCTCCTTTTGTGGAACTCACACCAATTGCCCCGCCTTGTAGCTTGGTGAGTGATTTGGATATGAAAAGTCCGAGGCCCGATCCGCCATACTTGATGTGTGTTCGAGGTGTTGTTTGTGAGAAGCGGGCGAAGAGTTTCTTCTGCTCTTCCATGGTCATACCGCATCCGGAGTCTTGTACTTTGAGCCACAGGAATGCTTTGCGGCCATGCCCCCATTCTGGCTTATCTGTAACGTCGAGTTGATCTCTTTCATCATCGGTGAATGTGATTTCCTGCCAGCATTTAGGTGGCCTGGTCCATGACGCGCCGATCGTAACAACAATTGCCTTCCGAGTGCGGTCCTTGGTGAATTTGATAGCGTTAGTCCTAGTTCTGTTAGTAGATGCCATAAAGAATCGTTTAGTCAAACTAACAGCAGGTTGATGAGAACTTGTAACAGGCGCGAAGGGTCCAGCATCGTCCATTCTATACCCTTGAATGTCTCGTCCACACGGAAGGTGAGTTTGATATCTGACTGGTTACATTCGACCTCGAACATTTTTACAGCATCCGAGACTACTATCGCGGGCTGTACACACATCGGCGTAATCAAGATCAGATCAGAGTCGAGCTTTGATAGTGTGAGAACGTCGTCAATTACACGCTTCTGGTGCATGGAACATGATACAATGACCAGTAATGACTCTATACAGCTTCGAATCTCTGCCGAAACTTTCGCAGAATTCAAAATCCGATCAGGCGCTGCAAGTTCTCGAGATAGCAACTGCTGTAGTGAAGCAATGACTGAATCGGCACATTGTATTACAGCAGAAAGGGGATTACGCAAGTCGTGGGAAGTCATGTCGATAAAACTGCCAAAGTCAGTAAGTTCTCAGGGCAATTTCAGAGGCATCGCTATACTTTTCTTGTTGTCGTTTCGCCTCCCATGCTTCCTCTATCCGGCGACGTTGAACATCTTCGGCCCATTTGAATTGTGAGATATCAAACAACGTTCCCATGATGCCTACTGCTGTCAGTGAGAAGATCGGGAAAATTACAGGGCTTTTGCTCACTAATAACTTTACCACTTTCGTCGAGCTCTGGATAGCTCGAGCTCTGCACCCAGATGTTTGAGCGCATTCCATCTTGGTTGACCCAAGTCTTTTTCAACCGAAACTGCACTCCATCGGACTTTCCACCTTCGAGCATGTTTTCCCAATCAATTTTTACTCTAGATACATCTTCCTCGGATATGAGATCGAACCATTCGAATTGGTTCACCGGTGCATGAGCGTGGCCAGTCAACTCGAAGAATTGATCATTTACAAAATTCATGCCTATTGCAAGATTAGTAAGAGTCGAACTCTGAACAAATATAACGTACCACTCTCAGGAACGTAAATGTATATTGCTACCGGAGATACCTGGGCAAAACGGGCGAATTTCATCTCTGCCATTCGTGCTTGCTCGAAGGCCTCCACCTGTGCCTGTGCTGCTTCCTGTGACTTTTTCTGGGCGTTGATGTCAATTGTATTGCCAGCAATACTTATCAGTTTTCCTTCTTCGTCGAGAACAGGCACACAAGCTGACAGCACCCACTGGGCAGTATCGGTTGATCCGGGGCGCGGTTTCCAGCGCATCTCAAAAGTGACAGCTTTGCCAAGAGCCAATCTGTTCCACATGGACATGACTAACGCCTGATCTTCAGGGTAAACGAGGTCCATAAAAGAGAAGTCTGAATGCTCGAGTATTCCAGGGTGAGAGCTGGAGGAAGTCAGTCACGTGATTTCACAAATGCTGATGCTGCCGTTGCACATACCTGAGCCTATACCAGGCCTCATTTGCATGCATCAGTTGTCCTGAAGAGTTGTATTCGAATACTCCCACATCGCTCATCTCCATCATCGTCTGGATGCTTTCCCATCTAGCATTGAGGTTGGTAATGGGCAGGCTCTTGAGCGACCTTGGTTTCTCCGGCTTGACCTGCTTGAAGAGATCCGTCCTTGAGCGTGAGGAAACCAGGCCTCGGTCATTATTAGATTGGCCATTTGCATCTGCCTTTTCGTCTACCAAATGTTGATCTTTTGCCGGGTTTTCGGAGCTGATTGCTCTTATTATCTTCCAGCTGCCAGATCGGCCCGCGTACTCTACAGTCCATGTTCTGCTGGAGAAGTCGTACGCTGGCTTAAAATCACCCAAAGCCTGTGTCCACGATCGGAAGAGAAGGGCTTCTCTGCCTTGAGCTAGGATAGAAGCGCGCAGATCAAGTGCCCGGAATGGTTGGTTGCAAAAAACAATATCATATTCCGGTGTAATCTCACCAATCTTGATGACAAACAGCGGGGTCTTTTCCGACTCGAGCTCTTCCAGATCCAAGAGGCGAGGGTGGGAAGGATCGGCTGATGGCATCCCGATCCGATTTCGGCAATGCTCAACCGGACATGCGTTTGAAAGGGTTTCTGCAAGTGGCCGCGAGTTTATGATTGTGATATTTAAACATGCAAACAGCCTGGCTGAAGAGTAGGGTAGGATGTAGGTGTAGAAATGGATGGATGCCTTAGCGCTCCGCGGAATGTCGTGGCGAGGCTGCCGTTCAATATCGTTCGTCCGCTAGGGCAGTCGAGAGCCGAGTCTTTGAGCTCAAGCTGGAGTGGTCGCCACAAACATTCACATAAATTCCGAACACGCGACGAGTACATAAGGACAAAAGGGAGGATTTCGATGTGGTGGCAAAAGCAGATTGGCCAGCTCTAGACTGATTACCCAAGCGGTGTTGTTGGCAAAGCCACACCGGCGAACAGCTCCAGGCGAGGAGGCATGGGAGATGCTGGCTGCACAAGTCGACTGATCGTAGATCGACTAGCAGCCTGAGATGTAGGTGTACTCGCAGAAAACTTGACGGAGAAGCAGTCGCGTGGCGCCATTGGGCCTCGAGCCGATGGTACAAATCTGACACGCACGCTAGTTGCATCTCGACCGCCATTGTAGAGTATCGACCCCACGGCAAGGCTTGTAGGAACCAAGGTTGTCGACAAGGCGGCTCATCTAAGTACGACAGCCCTGCCTCCCGTCACCATCGATCCCTGCCCCTTTTATAGTCGAGTTTCGTTCATGTGGCACCGTGTTTTTTTCACGCTGCCCACCATGGAGTCAATTATTGCACTTGTGCCAACAGGTCTGTGAGTAGCTCGGTTGACACGAGGGGGGAGTTGGCGGAATTAGTGCGGGCAGAAGAAGCATTTCTGGGTGTGATGTAATGCCGGTTTCAACATCACTGTGGCCCGCCGGAAGCAATTCCCTGTATTGCGTCGTGTGTCGAGCGTACAAACCTGACAGTCCATGTACATCAGCCCAATGGTCGTCATTTTTGCCTCATTCGGTGAATCGACTCGGTAGAGTTCTGGAAGACTTCGCCGTGGATGAACCCATTGGGCATCCCCGATCACGTGCCATCGCGTTTCCGATCTAGCGCGAGACTTCCTGAACGCTACCGAGTCGTGTTCTTCTTCACCTCAGCCACGGTCCCTGGTACTGACTACGTTCTAAAACTGCTAAGCTCTTGTTACACGTGTCGTTCAACATGAGTGATGACGAATTTGGCTGGTCATCTGAGGACGATGAATACCTCGCTGCCACTGCTGCTCTCGACGTCCCCGGTGCAAAACGGAAGCTCAATGACGACAACTTTGATAGAGTGCCATCACCCAAGCGATCCAGATCTGACCTGAAAACTGATGCAACTCCTTCTCCCAGTACTGCACTTGCAAATAAGATTCTCAAGGAACGCTTTGGGCTGAACAGCTTTCGCCTGGAACAGGAGCAAGCCATCACACGAATCCTCGATGGGGACAGCGCAGTAGTCGTGTTTCCCACTGGAGGCGGAAAAAGTCTTTGCTATCAAGTGAGTTCAAACGTCTGGTTTTGAGACGCTTGATTAATATCTCAAGGTACCTGCGGTTGCCTTTAGGTATCAAGATGAGGAGCTCAAACGGCGCACTGCCGGGCACAGCGGTGTCACTTTGGTCATCTCTCCGCTGATTGCTTTGATGAAAGATCAAGTTGATGCACTCCTGCGTCGTGGCATACGGGCTGCAGTACTAAACTCTTCCATCTCACGCGATCAATTCCTGGCTGCACAAGACGATCTTCGGAATGGACGTCTGGATCTCATCTACTGTGCTCCGGAACGACTCAATAGCGAAGGGTTCATTGCCTCACTCAAAAACATACCTGGAGGTATCCGATTACTTGCAGTCGACGAAGCCCATTGTATTTCAGAGTGGGGTCATTCTTTCCGCCCAGACTACCTGAAGATAGCTCGATTTGCAAAGGAAGCTCAAGTAGAAAGAGTCATATGTTTAACAGCCACTGCAACCCCAAAAGTTGCCAAGGACATTCGAAATGCCTTTGACATTCCCGAAGAAGGCCTGTTCAGAACGACAATGTATCGCCCCAATCTGCGTTTACTAGCCGAAGCAAACACCAAAGATGCCGATTATGTAGCTAAGCTTGTCGCCCATCTCAGAAATCATCCCGGCACAACTATTGTATATGTGACGATTCAGAAAGGCGCCGAAACACTGGCTGCAGAATTGCAAGTACAAGGGTTCAACGCCAAAGCATACCATGCGGGTATGCCCACTGCAGTACGGTCAAAGACACAGGATGAGTTTCTGTCTAGCATCGACATGGTTGTAGTCGCCACCATAGCCTTTGGCATGGGCATCGACAAGCCTGATATCCGCAATATTGTGCACTTTGACATACCCGATAGTATCGAGTCTTACAGTCAACAAATCGGAAGGGCAGGTCGAGATGGAAAGCCTAGTGTCTGCATGTTTTACCTATCCACAAAAGACTTTTACCTACGCAACATCTTCACATATGGCGACCGACCCTCCCTGCTCTCACTGAAACTTCTGATGCAAGACATCTGCTCTCCAGATCGCGCACACCTCAAGGCCGGAGACACCTTCACTCTCTCCCTCTACACGCAAAGCCAAGAAACAGACATCAAACCCATCGTCCTCGGCATCCTCTACGCCCAACTAGAACTCCAATTCAGCCTCTTCCGCGCCGCCGGCTCCCTCTACACAAAATACATGTACATAACCAAAGATGCCGCCACTCTCCTCAACGACACCTCCCCCGCCGCATCCGCAATCCGCAAAGCCGCCACTAAGGCCAGCAAATGGACGCACGTAGCCCTGGACGACCTCGCAGCATCAACCGGCATCGACCGTGCCGATCTCGTCCGCAAGATCGACGAATGGAACGAACGCGGCGCGATCGAACTCAAGAAGGAAGGGGTACAAAATGTATACCGTCTCGAGCGCCCCCTACCCCAATCACCTACCGAAATCAACTCCATAGTCGAGAAACTCGACCACAGTATGCAAGAAACCGAGACACAGAATCTCGCCCGCACCCGCGCTCTAATCGATCTCATAACAGCAAAACGCTGTTTCGCAAATAACATGGCGGAGTACTTTGGCGATGCGGAGAGCGGCAAGAAGGAATGCGGTCATTGTACGTGGTGCGAGACGCATGTGCAGGTTGAGCTTCCTGATGAGCCGGCGCAGCCACCTGACCCGGTCAAGGTGAAGCGGGTGCTGAATGCGGTGGGGATTCGGGACGATGCGCGGATGTTGGCTAAGCTTGCGTTTGGGATCAAGAGTCCGCGGATGGGGGCGCTCAAGTTGTATTCGCTTGATGTGTTTGAGTCGATGAATGTGTGTGAGTTTCCTGAGTTGCTGAGGGTGTTTAATGAGGCTTGTGAGAGGGATGGGGAAGGAGGCGAGTAAGGGGAGCGGATTTTGATATTTGCATACGTTGGTTGCGTCCTTTTTTGATAGTGATACCCTGTACGGATGAATTGTCTAGAGTATTATGTGTATAGATTGAGCGGATCGTATACTTTGTGGGTATCGTATGTACAGATAGACGAAGAGAAATATCTCGTCATGATTCTGAAGTCACTCTAGAGCTCCTTCTTTAGTTTGTTCGCCTCGGTCTCCTCTTTCCTTAGCTCCTTTACTCCAATCGCTGGTCTTCCCTCGACAGCCTTCTCGCCTCCAAACGTCTTGAATGCATTGTAGAAGATCCATTCAGTCGCGTGCTCGACGGGCTCGTCAAACACATAGGGTAAGAAAGGAACGGCCACAAGGCCAAGCTATTATGTATCAGTACTCGTCCAACCACATACACTGAACAATGGAACACTACTTACCCCAATCGGCGCCCAAGTCCTCAGTGTCTTGTTCTTTGCATCCTTGAGTGCACGCCCAGAATACCTGACAATGCTATGAATCGTGAAAGCCGGTAATCCCATCGAAGCTACAGCCTGAAAGACCGCCCGCTGCGCCATGACAGCTCTGTAATCTTCAATGGCCGGTATACGCCCTGGAACGACCTCTCCGCCCGTCAGGGGACTAGGAGCACCACCATACTTGACGCCCTCAGTGCTCGTCGCATTCTTCGCCAGATCCTGTACCTTGTCAAAGATACCCGAGCCAAACGATTTCCCCGTCGCCGCCATATCCTTGTCTTTCTGTTCCCCGAGCGACTTGTCTGCGGCCTCGTCGATGAATTTTTCAGGGTGCAGCGTGCGTTGATTACGGCAGTAGGCCTTGTAACCTTCGTGGGCGACATCGCCGGTAAGATAGAGCCAGGAGATACCGTAGGCGCCTTTGACCAGGTAGGGGTGGGCGACTGGACGGAAAGACTCGCCAATGTCGGAGGTGTAGGCTACGTAGCGGTGAGCGGAGAGCATGATAGTGCGGATGCGCGAGGCGTAAGCTGCATAACGGAGAGACGTATCCGTTGTGTCGTCACCTCTATCGTGGTGTGTTAGCTATCGTGAGTAGCAGTAGGCAACAGGCATCTGCGCATTGCGATGGGTGTATGCGATTTGGCAGTTAGAAGGTAACATACTCGCCATCGTACAAGACCTCCCACAGCTTCTCTTCATCATTGAGCGTATCCTGAAGCTCCTTAGGAAGCCGCTTCCTCGGCGGCGGAACCGAAAAGTCAGGACGCGCTCCCTGTCGCTCTACCGGCACACCATCCACCTCTTCGACTTTCTTATTCGCATCTTTAGCCATTCCGACACAATCGCAAGTTATTAATCCGAAGTCTTGTCTACCAAAGAGTAAAGAGCGTTAGTAAAAAAGAAGAGATTCTACACGCAAGTTTTACGTCGTACCACTATCAACCTCGGGATCCTAACCTAGCCAGCAGCCAACCAACCCACCACCTCAGCCGCACGTCATAATCCTTATCCCCCCCCCCCGCCCCTCCTACATCCCTGTCGCGCAGCCACACCAGCCACACTTCCTCAGCCACATTTTCTTCGCCCGCCAAGCCACGCACCTCGTTCTTCCGAAGCAGACCAGCAAGCTCCGAACTGCAACGAACCCGTTCTCTACCCGCCCGCCCGCCATCCATTGACGCATCCGCATCTCATATCCTCCCTGCGCTTTTCCCCTCGGAACGGATCACACAGCTTTCACTACCGCAAAGATGGTTGCCATGTACACGATTTTCGGCCGTCAGGTCGGATCGCACGTTGTATGTCTCTTTTTTCCATCCCAGGCAGCCCCGAGGTTATAGGGAAGAGGCGGGAGGACAATCAATTGAAGGCATTGGAATTTCCTGCTTGCAGTCGCAACAATTGACCAGCATTCCGGCTTTTCTGAAGGGGGGGATCAAGGGTAGAATTGACGGGTAGATGAAGAAGATGGCTAACAGAAAGTAATAGCTTGCGATCGCCACGCTCGCCACCACATTCACCGGTGCTGCGCTGTCCATGGGCGGAAAGAAGGCCGAGGACCCGACTACCCCTCCCATCAATGCGAAGAGCAGTGAGGAGGAGAACTTTGTCAAGTGCGTTTCCCATACATCCCTCTACCCACTATCCGGCCATTGCAGCGAATAGAAAACTAACATGTCTTGCGTTCACAGGGAGTACGTCAAGAAAGCCGCAGACAAGGTTTCAGGAAAATAAACAAGCGCACCGTTCGACCGCGAGAGAGAAGATATGACAATGGTATAACCCCATTGTGACGGTGGACATATACCTACCCAACATTACCACGGTTTCGAAGGGGAGAGGGGGGGGGGTTTTTTCTCTTCTTCTGCAACGTTAGACGGAGCAACGAGAAAGAAAAAAGTTGTGTAGATAAAGAATGAAGCCGATTTGGGGATTTGAATGACCAACCAAAAAAAAACAAAAACCATCATCATTTGTATACATGTATTCCATGGCTAAACCTGCGTAGATTGTGCGTTACAAACCATCATACCCTCCAGAGACAAGAAGAACAAAACACGGAATGGAAGGGAAAGGGGGAAGGGGGTATCATTCGATACTACAGCAACAACAACAACAACAAACGCACAAACCAAGCCTTCATCCATGCTTCAAAACGACGTCGACAACGCCATCCCATCATGCAACCCATCCATAACCCCCAAAACGCCGTACACTTACTCACTCACTCACTCCTCCCCATCCTCACTCTCCCCCTCCTCCTCAAGCACAACCTTCTTATTCATACTATCCAACACCTTGCAATAAAACTTGACCGCCTGCGCACTCGGGAAACAAATTTCCTCTGTCAGATAATCCGGTAGGATATCCAAGAGTTCTTTATCGCGCTGTTCGTCGAGTAAAGGTTGGTATATGAATTCTGTCTCTTCAGCGGGGGAGGAGCCCGGGGCGACGGTGAGGTGGAAGTGGAGGGCTATTTTTTTTGTACTTTTGTCAGCTTGGATCGGGTAGAGACGGAAGGGGGGTTTGGTAGGGGGATGGAAAGAAGGGGGGGGGGTGGAAGGGAGAAAAGGGAGAAAACTTACTGCGACCCCGACCTGTCTGAAGACAATCGTACACATCATCCCCTTCATCTGATTTCTTGACGCTCAAAACAACTAGGTTAGTCAAATCGCTGTACAGATCGACTTTTTGGCGTGCGAGGGTTGCTTCTTTTGCGGCTTCGACGGTTCCTGGGAGAACGACGCCTGTGGTTCGGGGTTTGACGGCGCTACCCGGCACGGTCTTGACGTCTGGTTGTAGTGTTGATGAGGACCGAGCTGCTGCGAGTTTGGACGAGAGCGTCTTGTTTTCGTTTTGTGCGGCTGTGAGAGACTCGGCGAGTTTCTTGTTTTCGGCGGTGAGGCGCGCGGATTCTTTGGAGGCTGCGGCGAGTTCTTTCTTGAGGGAGGCAAGGTCTGCGGTGCGGGATTGTGTGTCGGAGACTTGCTGCTTAAGAGATTTTATGATGGCGTCTTGATCTTTGGCGATTTGGTCGGTCCGCTTCTTTAGTTGGTCGAAGTTGGATTCTTTCCCTGATGACGCTGCTTCCTTAAGAGCTTCGTACTTGGCGGTCATGGCGTCCAGCTTCTTCGTGAGGTCTCCTAGTTTCCGGCGCATGATGGGATCTCGCTCAGAGTCTGATACGCTTCCTGTCCTCCTCACCCCAGCAGACGTCCGCCGCGCCCTACTATTCGGCTGTGCATGGGCTCGGCGCGCAGAAGGCCGGACTGGTGGTGGCATGCTCTCTGGTATCTCCTCTATCTCTATCGACTCTGAAATATCCATTGTTTCTGTGTCTAGCTCTGGCTGTGTCTCTGGGATGGTCATCTGTTCTGGCTCAGGTTCGGATTCGAGCGCGCGCTTTGTGCCTCTTGACTTTGCGGTTGTCTTGGATTTAGTCTCCTTCTCTGCTCCCTCCTTGACTGCGGCTTTGCGCCCTCTCTTTGCCGGTGCTGGCACTGATTCCTCCTCGCGCTTCTCTTCTTCTTGCGCCTTCTTTGCTGGTCTGCCTCTCTTAGTCGGCTTGGCCTGTGGTGCTGGCTCCTCTTCCTCAACGTCAGCCGCTCCCTCGCTATCGCTTCCGTTCGCATCATCCTCCTCTGGCAGCGCCTTGCGCCCGGCTTTTGTAGTCGCTTTCTTTACTGCTCCATTACTCTTCTTCGCAGTTGTCGCACTAGCTCCATTTGCTGCGCGCGCCGTGGGCCGTCCCTTAGCAGACGCCTTGGTCGTAGAGGCGCCCGCCTTTGGTTGCGCAGCGCTTCCACGCGCTTTGCGACCTGTCGCCTTGGTGTCGCCGTTGGACTCGGGTTTTTGGACTGCATTGAGCTCGTCTACCGTCATTTCGTCTTCCGAGGCAGAGTCGACGGTGAAGGAGATGTTTGCGACTTTGCTGCGGGGCGCCATCTTGTTGTCGCTTTGAAAATGTTGCGTGTGGTGGGCAAGTCCGTGGCACTGCTTGGGTGTTTGGCGGGATGATGGTGGAGTGGCATGCATGTAAACATGGTCCGAGCGTCGTTCCCAGGCACAGCGCGTTGCTTCGAGCTCTACGCATGTGACCATGACGGGACTATGGGAAACGACAATCGCATCATAATGTCATGCATCTTGCAAACTATAAAAAAAAGGCTTTCACTTAATTGACGAGCGTGACTCGTCATCATTAGTAGAAACTATATACATATGCGCGACATGACCATTCGCGTCTCCATGTCCAGGTATCATTCCAATAACTCATCTCCATAAAACGAAAAAAAAAAAGCCCACAAAGACAGCGCACTCGTAAAATTCGTAAACCCTATGCTCACTTTTCACATTACTTACCGTGAGAATCAAAGGAGGACTCGTCTAGCGGCCCACACTGCTGCCACCCCAGTTGCTAGGCGCCATGCTACTGAGCTTGCTTGAGATTGTGCTGCCCGAAAACCAGCTGGATGACACGCCGCCACCGAAACCAAACTTCCACCACTTGTTTCTGCCATACTTCCTGCCACCACCAAGACCGGTCCTGTTGCTCTTCTTGTCATCAATCTTGTCCTGCCACTTGAGCTTCGTCTCCATGATGGCATGGATCGAGTTGATGATGAGGAAAGTGGTGGATCCAATAGCACGGAAAACGGCGAGAGCGGCGACAGCCCACAGAATGAACGTGAGGTAGAAGTTGTTGGTGACCTTGCGGTTGCCATAGGCTTCGCTGATGGACATGGCGAGAATAGCGTTGGAGATGAGCCAGATGACGACCATGTAGGTACGCACGGCGCGGTAGTAATCTTCCTGCTGCTGCGATTCCGAAATCGGGGGCTCGGGTACTTCGACACGGTCACGAAGGTTACGAAGCGCTTCATCGTAGCCACTGTCAATGTCAAGTTGCTCAGATGGCATCTCGAGTTCGACGACGTTCTTTGTCTTTGCACGGGCGTCTCCAAGATCCGTCTTGGCCACGTTGTCACCCTTGGTTCCCCATGTAATGTCGTGCGTGTTACAGAAAGCGTACACTTGAAGCGTTGCAATATACGAGGGCAGAAGAGCAAAGTACTGCGCGCTCGAGGTAAACATGTGCCAAGGATCCAGATACATAAAGGACATGAGAAAGTAGAGTCCAATGGTGGTTGCCGTGGAGATGATGAGGTTGGTAAAAGTGTTTGAGCCTATCACTTTCTCGGCTTTCGGATCTTTCAGTTGGACAATGACAATGTAGAAGGAAGCAAACGTCGTGTAGGCCATGATGATGCCATACATGACCATACTCCAGAAGAACATCTTCTTTGCACCCTGAGGTCGATTACCCATGGACAAGATAAACTGCATGCAGATGAGTAGCGTGCATGTATATCGCAAAATGTAAAAGATGTATTTGCCGACATTGTGTCCGAATGGGTCCATTTCAGGGTCGGCGAGGGAACCAGCGACGAAGTAGAAGGTAAGGTAGAAGTTGGCCAGGGAGAAGAAGGTGAATAGCAGCTGGACGAACTGGTAGACGAACTCGATGTGGAGGAGGATCTTGCGCCAAATGGTGTGGTCAGTTGCCCATACCTGCTTCCAGTGGAGCAGCGAGTACACGGCAGCAAAGAAGGCACCGTTCAGCCAGCGACGACGCTGAGAAATGAACTCGGGAACCGCGTCTGCAAAACTGTTAGTGGATGGTCCTACAAGAGCAATGAGTGTCCATCTTACCTGGCACATCCGTCTCTCCAGTGGCCGCCTTGACATATTTCAGAACCCATTGTTCGCTTCGCTTTGCCACAAGCTCCCAACACAGGATACGATCCTCAGCCAAGTACATGTTGGCCGTGAACACGTCTGCATCTTGACCGTGAAGCGTTTCTCCCTTGAAGTACTGGCTGAGGGGCCCATGTCCAGTGTGGTCGTTCTGCAACGCGTGATAGCGATATGCCGATAGCGCACCTGGCAACACAGTAATATATCCAAAGACCGACTCCAGTGGCTTGTCGAGAATGTTGGACATCTTGTATTCAAAGTTTTGCGACGCAACCAACGGATTGAGAAGACCGAGCCAGGCTTTGCCCTTGCCAGCCTTGATCTCACCAGCTGCTCCAGCGACTGAAGAGTCTGTGTCAAAAGCCTTCCACAAGTGGTATAGCGCTTTGGGGCCTGGCTTGGTTCCGACATCGAGCAAAATACAAATATTGGGGTTGAGGGCGCGTCCAAAGGCATTGAAGAACCAACGATGCGAGTTCAGTTTCTTAGAGTTGCGTTCCTTCAAGCAGAAGATCATTTGACAGGGTACAATACCCTTCTCAGCACCCTTGAACTTGAGGTCAGAATCCAAAGAGACTTGGGTCGTGTATTCGTAGACGTGGGCGGTGACTTCCTTTTGGTTGACGTGGTTCTTTGCAATACCCTCCTGGAAGCACCCCATGGCAGCAATGGCGTCCAGTGTTCGAGGGTGAACCTTTCCACGACCATCTGCAATGATGCACACGACAATCTTCTGCCATCCGTCCTTGCCCCAAGTTCTGGACTTCATACGAGAGCAAAAGTGGCTGATGTTCTGCATGACACCGTGCATGGTACGGGTAAAGTCGATTTCGTTCTCGTTGTACATGGTAATGGCGATGAAGACCTCCGTCTCACGGGGGTTGCCAATGTTCTGGCGCAACTTGTAGCCACGGTCCACAAAGTCGTCGGGGTCGCAAGTAACGGCTGTATATCGCATGTGCGTGAATTCAATGTCATCTCGTCGCGGAAGGAAACTGTAGAGAATGGTGGGGATCTTGCACTCGAGAATGAGTTCACCGTTGATCAGGCGAACTTCCTTCTTCGTCATGACTGCGTCTCGCGCACCACGTCGAGCCTGTGCACCATCTGGAGCAGGTCCGTAGTGCTCCGCCTTTTCGTCCACTTCGGTGTAGACATCTGTATACGTGTCGTCTGTCAAATAAGAGTCTCGCGAGCGCAACTCTGGTCGGTCGTCGCCCATCTCGGTGAATGGGTCATCGTCGTCATGCATGGGTATCGAGCGCATGTCGCTCATGTCCATGGTGCGCTCCGAATCGCGGGAGCCAGGCCTTCCGCCAGCAGTGAACAGGGGCTGGGGTGGCAATGGCCGCTGAGGGCTGCCTGGTCGCGGACTGCCATCGAGGTCGTATGGCTCGTAGGAATTGACTGAAGCAGGTGGTCGCGAGTAATCGACTGATGTGCGCGTAGGTGAATACGGTCGATCAGGCGATATTGACCGTCGGTAAGGGACATAGTCGTCATCAATTGGAGGGGGCATGTTGGGGACATTGTCCATTAATGAGCCTGACCTCGACAGGCTGGATACTGAAGATGGTGATGGGTGGTACATGCGCGATGTCGGCTGGGGTTGTCTGTGAGAATGATGGGTCGGTAAGTCTGGGTCTTGCAATGGTGTTGTTTTTGAAGGCGACATCCAGCCGATGGCTTGTTGTCTGAATGACTTTCTGCCTGCTGAGTTGGTTTGCGCTGGCGCAGCGCTTCCAGTCGCATTGAGCGCATTGCCAGCCTCACGCAAGAAGTCGTGGATTTCGGCCTCGGCCTCCCTCTGCTTGCCCGCCTCAGAAGGCGTCATGTGCGTGCCCAGGGCCGCAGCGGTGCTATTTGCGGACGACATGTTTGAAGTGTCCTCGAAGGAGCGTCTTCTGGTACAGGAATGAGATTGAGTCCACAAACGTGGGACGCAAGTGAAGGTGAAAGTGAAGAAACAAGGAAAACTAATACTCACGACACATAGCTTTGGCTATCGTCTACGTTTGTCAACAAACGCATGGTTGAGCCTCCTTGGAGCTGAGGGGAGCCGTCTTCATCGTCATATGCAGGTGGCCGTCCATAGTGTGCACCACCTGGGGTGGTGGGTCCGTTCATGATATGTCGGTGAGTCGTGAAAAAAAGGAAAAGAGAGCCAAAATGTGGTAGAAGCGTCGTGCTCTCTCTCTAGTGTCACTCGAGGAGCGATGGCGACGTCGGGAATGCTAAATTAATGTTTCTGGGGAATCGATGCAGTCGCTGGGCTCTAGAATGAAGTGCGAGGCGGCCCATCCGGCGGTGTTGTTTCTTCCACGGTTGTCGTGCCAACACTCGGCCCAGCCCTAGAGCCGCCAGGTACGGCCCCCAGACTCGACCCACTTCAGGCTTAGACCGTTGCACACCAGCATAGCAACCACTATTCGTCCGGAGCCGCGTGGAACGGTGCACGCTGTCGTGGTCAATTGGCTGGGGATCGCCGTCCGTTACACGGTTAGCGGGTGTGTGGTTGTCCTGGGAGACGCCCGATCCGTCACACCGTGTACGATTTAGGGCTGAAGCACGTCATACAGGTCCATGCATATGTGAACAGGGCGTTTGCAGGATACTGCGGCGCTGTTGAGAGACAGTGTGCATTAACGTGCAGAAATCTAGATTTGCTTCTGTCTATGTCCTGAGAATACCTGCAAAATACGCTTCCACCCCCTCTAGTCCCGCTTCGTCGAGCGTGTCAATGTATCCTACGTACTGGTCTGGTCTAGCGACTACGACACATCCCTTTTCTCTATCCACGCCGTACTTCTTGTATGCATCTGCAAATGCTTCGTAGTAGTTGCCATCATCCACATACACCGAGTCATAGTCCCATCCAGTCCTAGGATCAAAGGGATGTAGAACATCGGGGAAGTCTCTTAGCAGCTCGACCTCGACGCGCTTGGATGAGTGTAGGGTGAGCACATCAATGTCCTTGACGAGCCGCGGAGCGAGGAGTGGTGATGATGAGAGGCGCTGGCAGAAGCCCTTGAGGCGAGTACTCTGCTCTTGGTTGACAACATTACCGGCAAAAACAATGATGCGGAATCGTCCGTCACTCTTTAACTTCTGCTGAAACTCCCATGCCCGACCATCTGACTGGTTGAGAACCTGGTGGCTCGGGAAACGCATACCTATCTTCGTCTCCGAGGCGAGTTCTTGCTTGCCAATGACTTGTGTCTTTGACGATACATCTGTTCCGTCGCCCTGCTCCGCGGCGTTGCCTGGTTTGCCCACCAACATGCTCGTACCGTAGTCGACCGAAAGGCCAGCGGCGAATAGACCGCCTGAGTCACGTCAGCATGTTTTGCGATTTGGGCATTCACTACTTACCCTTCTGGAATGCCTGTTTGAACTCGTCCATGCTTACACCCTCTTCGTCCATGACATCCTTGGCCGGTCTGCCAGAGAAGAGTCTTGAGAACTTGTGATCAAATGCAATGAGATCCTGGGCAATTCGTCTCCGCTCAGACTGGTACGTTTTGAGTATACTTGGTTGAGCTACGCCCTTGACTACCAGTCCCAGTTTCCAACCCAGATTGTAGGCGTCCTGCATGGATACATTCATACCCTGGCCAGCCTTTGGGGAATGGGTATGAACAGCGTCGCCAGCCAGGAAAACGCGGCTGTCACGGTCAAAGTTCTTGCCTACTCGCTGGCCGATTTGGTATGCGGTCCACCAGTCGCAGTATTCATATGTCAACTTGTATGGCGCAATGATTCTTTGTGCCGCTTTGATGATGGTATCGGGTGTGATTTTTGACCTGTCCGCTCTTCCGCTGGCATCTGGTTTGATCTCCGTGAGCTGGATATACAGTCTGGTAAGTTTGTTCTCCCGCGGAATGATCATCATTGAACCCGAGGATGCGCTATGTATGGCGCAACGCTTTCGAACATCGGGAAAGTCTGTGATGGGAACAATGTCGAGTACGCCCCAAATATGGTCTGTTGGTTCTCCTTCAAGCTCAAACCCCAGCTGCTTTCGGGTCCAACTGTGGGCACCGTCGCACCCTACAACGTATTTTGCCCTCACAGTCTCTGTGGTACCGTCTTTCTGTCTACTGTTTGCGATTAAATCTTGGGTATCATCTTCTGCCAGGTTGCTCCGGAATAAGCCGTCATTGATGCTGGAGCTCTTACTCTGAGCGGGCATGGCCTCCTCTTCGGTAAGATACCGGAGCTGCACAGTGATAGGGTAGTTTTCCGGCGAGTGGTTGTTTACTTGGTCTTGGTCGACATGGAGCGATTCAGGAAGCACTCCACGCTCTACACGTAGGGTATCTTTTGAATGCTTCTTGATATGATCGAGGAAAAATCTTTCGATACGCCCCTGGTGGAGAACAATCTCCTTGAATCGGGAGATTCCAGGAACAACATCTGGGATTTGGTCGGAACGACGTATGACACCGTCTTCGCCGGGATTCTGTGTACATTAGGAGAGATCAGAAGAGGTGATTTCTGCAGACTTGCCCACATGCAAAACTGTGAGGTGGTTAGTCCAGTCAAGCCAAGTGGGTGAACGAGTATACCTCTATCAAATGATTCGCCTCCTTCCACGCTCTATCGGCGAACCCAAAACTGTCAAAGATTTCCAAACTACGCAGCTGGAGGCCATCTGCCTGTCCAGAGTAAATCTTGGTGCCTCGCTTGTCAACTATGCGAGCGTTGATGCCACATCTTGCCATCCAAGTGGCAAGCATCAGACTAAATAAGGTCAGCCACTGACATATAGCAGTTTAAGAGGTAAGTACGTACCCTGCCGGGCCAGCACCAATGATTAGACTTGAAAACTGTTAGCCGTGTTTCAAGATGGAGTGAACTCATAGACTAACACATCGCATTTTGACTCTGGTGCATCTGAAACTGCCATGGCGAAAGATTATTTTTGGTGATTTGCTTTTGGGTATCTCTGTATTGATGCAATCAGGTGGGGGATGTTGTGTTACCCCGCCCTAAGTAGTATATGATGCGCATAAGATTCGACAAGGAACAGACTTCAGGGCCACATTCTTATATAGGTCTCTGCGACCAAGTTTTTTTTTTATAACCGGGAAGGGACACGGCAGTGGATACCAAATGTATCGGTAGTTTCTACGCTGCGAGGACCTGATCACAACAGGTGCGCGACTACCCCACATGACACCAAGTTTCAACGGGGGCGGGGCGGAGCAGATGGCCGGTGGAGACTTTGCCGGAAATTCTGATTCGTATATTTGGTCGTGGAGGTGCGGGTCTGTGACATAGTGCAGGGCAGTATTTTAGGGTTTGTCAAGGCTTTGTCAGGTATACATAACGTAGATGGAGTGGTCGAGGCTGACAACGATCTTACAAACCACCATATGGTACATATTTGATCTATGTCTGTCCCTCAGAAAATGGGTATGATGAGAGAGAGAGAGAGAGAGAGGCATGTGGCATTCAAAACAATAGCATTACTTGCCCCTCTTGCTTATGCACAGAGAGGGTCTATTCTAGCAAGGGATAATTATCTTGTTTTTTTTCATCTTAGTCAACTCATGTACGGCCGTACAAAGAGCGAAACCCAATCCGACCTCAGTCTCCTCTGTAGACATGTCTAAACTTTGGTTCATGGAGAAAAGGTTGATTCGGAGATTGCACATGTGGTAAGCAGCGCATGAGGCTGGTGCGATGAAAAGTCGGGTTTGTAAGTTCAATCCAATAACTGGCCTTGATAAGCCCCAAAGTCATATAAGGTTCAGGGCCCTGCTGGGTGACATGCTTTGCAAGCATGCGTAAACCTCAAACGTGTTCTCCTCTCATAAGGGCAAGACATGCTGTATCCAGGCTATGGTCCAAATCCTTGTACCGGACAAGGTCATGTACTAGGATCCAGGAATCTGATAAGCACTCTCAAGAGAGTGCAAAGATAGCGCATGTAAGTATCGAACGATTCGAAGGCAAGGCAATATGTTAGAGTTAGTAACTGATCAAGTGAAGTTTAAAAGCAACAGATTCTTCTGTTGAAGTTTGTGTCCTCTGGTGGGGATTTGCCACGAGCATGGCTTACGGAGTGGCTGTAAGTATCTTTGTCCGCATCACAGTCAGACTGACGCTTGGACTCACAGCATGTCACATCCAGCATACTTTTATCAGAATCATCTTCATAAGAAACTGGGGTATCATGCAAAAAGAGAAAAGGGAAGAAAGAAAAGTGAGCAGCGCGCAGGGCCCGGGTCGATACCTGTGTGGCTGCAGAGATGGATCACGAGTCGAAAGAAACTAGTAGTAGTCATCGTTGTTGTTGTTGTTGTTGTTGTCGTCGTCGTCGTATAGTTGGCGAGGTTGCAACTTGTCCAAGTACTTGGTCAGTTGGGTGAGTCTCAGGTTGATGCTGGAAAGAAGTGGAGCCTGCACTTTGGCGCCGTTTGCTGCAGCCCGCTCGAAGCAAGCGTGGGCTTCCTTGAGCTCTCTGCGGGCATTGGACAAACGCTGGATTCTGTTTGAAAAGGGGATGCTGCTGTTTGCGCTGATTTGTGCAGGAAATTCAGCATCCCAGTCTTCGTCGACGTCGAGTGTTCCGAGGGCAAGGTCGCTGATCCACAGGGCAATGTTGGCACGCAGTTGGACAAGATTTGCCTGTCTGTCAAAGGGCGGCGATGCAATGACTTGGTCAAGACGCTCAGCAATCTCGGTGGCCTGAGCCAACTCGTCCGTACGGATTGCCTCTTCCCTTGCAGCAGAGTCATCCGGTCTTCCGGAAGCAGCACTGTCAACCGACATGCTCCTCGACGTTACGGATCGGTTGGCAAGCTCGTCCTGCAGCCGCATCCTTGCACGCTTGCTCTTTTCGCGCACCTCGTAGATCCACAGCGAGAACATGGGTGGATAGAAGATGCGCTCGTCGACGGCATGCGGCTGTGTTTTCCGGGTTGGGTACTGGACAATGAGACGTTGGTAGTAATTCCGAGCTAATTCGAAGCCCTCTGGAGAAAAAAGACCAGGTTGGTGAGCCGGCTGGGGTGCGTCGTCGGAGTGTGGGCGTGGCGTTTGCGGGTTGCGTCGAAGAAGAATCTCGGCGCCGACGCCCCAGCGGCCATTGTTGCGAGGGTCGACGTGGGTTCCACCAGCAATTTGGGTGCGCAAGATGATGCCCCAGGCCCGGCTGGCGCGGTCATGGTCTCCCTTGAGCAGACACGAGTGCATTAGTGTGGAGAGGTTGTCGAGATGGGACCTTTTGAGGGCGTCGTGGGGGTCGTGCGTGGGAGCGGGGTCGACAGCGTACAGGTGGACAGGCGGGCCAGCCATTTGCTGTTGGATTCGAGTGGATCCATGGGGCTTTTTGAAAGTGTTGGCAGGCGCATGGGGGAAGGGTGGCGGAGGCACGTCGTGTGCGCGGTCGGGCAATAGGCCCACGACACGCAGCTGGGCTTTTTCCGGGGCGGGCGAGGCGACGGCGGACGATTGGCCTGTGGCGCGTGGATATGCTTGCGGGGAGGGTGCAGGTGCAGGTGCAGGTGCGGATGGTGGTGCTGGTGCGGATGGTGCTTCTTCGCCCTGGCCGTGAAAAAGGTCGGAATCAGAGTCGGAGCTGGTGTGGGCAGACGAGTCGGCGGGGTTCCTTTTGGAGGGTGCTTTTGCGGGGCTTTGGCAGTGGGCAGCGCACAGAGAGGCGGACACGGTGTGCTGGTCGCGCAGGTGGGTGGTGAAGTACATATTGCATGGGTGTCTGTGGTGGTGGTGGTAGTGGTGGTGGTAGTGTGGCGGTGGTGGTGCCAGACGGGCGGCGACTGAGGCGGCGGGCGGCGAGTAGGCGCGGACCCCCTGCCCGGCGACACGGCAGCCAGGTGTAGCACTCTGCTAGCAGCAGTCGGGTGCGTGGACGCGGACGCGGACGAGGCGGTGAGAGTGCGAGCAGGAGGATACGACAGGACAGGACAGGATGCGACGGGATAGGACGAGGGCGAGGACAGGCCCAGGAGATTGTCGTTTCTTAGCAGCGTCAAGCTGTCGCGACCTGTTTCATGGCTGGCCCGCCCGAGCAGAGAAAGGCCTGGCGGCGGTGCGCTAGGCTGCTTGGGGCTTAGCCGGTCCTGGTGCTGCGCCATACGACGGTAGCCGGCCTGGCTGGACTGTCCGCCCGTCGGCGTGTCTGTCTGTCTGCCTGCCTGCCTGTCTGTCTGTCTGTCTGTCTGGCCATCGTGACTGTCTGTCTGCCTCTCCGTCTGTCTGCTCTCTGCGAAGGCCACCCTCCCCATCTCTCCCTCGCCCGATGCCCTCGCACAATGGGCCAGGCACACTCCAGAGGCGCGACTGACGCCCCAACCCGGCCCAGGCGACGCCCGCGCTCGTGGGCGCCTGGCCTGCTTGCCTCGTCCTCGTCCTCGCCCTCGCTGCCGCCCGTCACCGACTTGGACACGACCACGACCACCACCACCCGCCCCAACGACCGCTCAAGAGCCCCCTCACCACCACCACCACCCCCGCCAGCTTCCTCCCATGCACGCTTCTCCCGCCGCCTGTCCTCCCACCTGGGCTGGCTCGATGCCCGCAACGAGCCCCCGCCAACGCACCGCGAGCCCCCGCCCTCCCGCTCGCGCTCGCGCTTGCATAGGGCGCGCTCCTCGCTCAGCTCCATGACGGGCCTGCTGCATGCCCGCCCTTCACTGCGCACACGTGACACGGAGCCTGTCCTGCCATCTGTAGCCCCAGATGCTCCTTCGCGCTCCTCGCCCACCCGTTCACTCCTCCCGCACGCCGCCACCGACCGAGGGTTGGTCCTTCCACGTGTACAGGTCCCGGACCTGGGCTTGGACTTTGACCAGCTGCTCCGCTCAAACTCGCCCATCGACCGTCCAGACGCCCACCGCCAGCGCCCGCTGGCTCCTCTGAGTCCGCTGCGGCGCGACGGACGCACCCTGGGCATCATTCCCTCGCAGCGCCGCATACGCAACATGATCGGCCACCAGCGCCGGAGACGCTCGCTGTGGCAGGAGGGCGAGACCATGGACAATGCCCAGCAGCTGCGCCAGGGCGAGGATCAGGCTGATGTGCTGTCTAGGCTGCTCTCGCTCGCCGCAGCCGCCACCGCAGCCTCGCTCGTGGGCGACGACAACCAGGCTGCCACTCGAGACGGCACTTTTGACACGTTTCTACAGTCGCTTCAAAACGGCAGCATAGCATCGGCATTGCGGGGCAATGAAGACGGTGCTGCCGGTGACACGCCCGGCGCAGGGCAGGCGCCACTCAACTTCTTCCGCATGTTTCGCTTTGGCACGGCTACTGACAGCACAAGAAGTGACAACGACGGAAGCCACGGCGGCGGTTCCGCAAACGGCGCATCAGAAGGCGAAGAAGAGGGCGAAGGCAGAATGGTGCCTATAATTATTGTAGGCATCAGGTCTATACAGCCAGGCAGCGGCACAGGACAAGATGACGCCAGCATACCGCCCTTTCTCGATGCCCTCTCCAGCTTTCCCACGCCCCCTACCTCTCCCGGCGACGCAAACATCCTGCAGCCACCGCAAAACGGCACTCGCTTCAGCCACCGCCGCCGGGCTTCCATGGGCGGCTTCAACTTTCCCTCAAATCACGACGGTCCAAGACACCACCGCGGAAATGCCCAAGAGCGCCCTCGCCCTTGGTCATCGCTCACAGACTCGCCCCCGGGACCTCAACCTCCTCCCTCGACACCAGCTACCACGATGAACCTGTCCGCCGGCCCCTCGGGAGCCACCACGCCAAATACGTCTACATCGCCTCCGTCGCCCATCCTCCAGTCAGCCTCGCCATCTCGGCGAAACAGCTTTGTTCCAAGAGGTGCCGGGTCCACTCTAGAGCCGACCGAAGAAGAACCGCAAACACAGCCGCGCAATGCACGACCCCGTCGCCTGAGCGAATCCGACTTTACACGGTACGGATCTGGAGCGCCGCGGAGAAGAGGAGTGGTGGAGCCGGACAATAACCCCGGCGAAGGGTCACGGAGTTGGATCATCTACGTGCTGGGCGGCAGCTACCCGGAAAATCACCCCATCCTCACGACGCCCAGTCTCTTCACCGACTCGCCAACATATGAAGACATGATGCTTCTTTCATCAATATTAGGACCGGCAAAACCGCCTGTTGCAAGTGAAGAGGATGTGGCTTCGGCGCCCGGGTTGCTCAGGATCCGGGCGAATGGAAGTGTGCTGGTAGCCGAGGCGGTCGAGGGCGAGGAGACGATTGATCTCGTGCCTGGAGCGCGCTGTCTAGTCTGCCTGTGCGACTTTGAAGCGGATGAAGAGGCGCGCAAACTCATCAAGTGCGAACACATGTTTCACAAGATCTGCATTGACCAGGTATGTTTAACATGGATATCCCTCTAAAAGTGTGGTATAGAAGATGACTAATGTGTTATATAGTGGTTGACTACAGGACGCAACTCGTGCCCTCTATGTCGTGGCGAGGGAGTCCACGAGACGGGCAAGGAGAGTGATGTCGAGCCTAGTGCTACTCCTTCTTCGCCTCCTTCGCCTCCACCATCGCTACCGCAAGCAACTGCATGATGGGCTAAACGATTCTTTCCGTCTAGAGTATTGATTTGCCCGAAATTGTGCTCCTTCTTTCTCTTTCTCATGATATACACATGGAGAGAGAGAGAGAGAGAGAGAGGGAGTGCACGATTGCTCAGATTCTTGATATATACCCCCTTTTTTTGATTTTCCATCTCTCCATCTCAATCTCCATCTATTTATCATTTTCTTGTCAAACGGGCCCTTGTCTGTCTGCCTCTCTCTTTTTCTCCACAATTTGTATTTTAGGATACAGACGTGGGGGACGGGAGTGGGAGACATGGACTTTGTTTTTCTGTCCACTTGCAAATTTTTCCGGTCAGGGTTTCATATACGTTGGAGTGTCATCTCTTTTTTTTCTTTTTTTGTCCTTTCCTAGTCATCCTGATATATACGGGTAAAGGGAGTGAATGGAGTCTCTCTACCATGTCTTTTTTTTCCTTGCATGCGATTTTTCAGAAAAATCTTGATTGTTTATCTTGATGTTGAATTGGCATTTTCTGGCATCATGGATGGGGCGTGGCATCTAACCGTATGGTCAAAGGGGAAATATATGGCGTGTATGTATGTAAGTCTTTTTTTTGTCGTTTCTCTATTATTTTGGATCGTCTTTTCAAGGAGAAAGCATGTAGCGAGGTGTGGTGGGGGTGGGGGTGAAAGAGAAGAGAGAGAAGGAGCAGTGTTGGGTGGGGGTGTGTGTCTGTACGGGGAGACATTTTCAAGCATGTGAGACGAATTTCCTTGCAAAGTTTCTGGTTTGCAACTTTGACGCAGCAACGGCCGGTGTGCGAAGAAAGGTCGAAAAAGTCTAGCACCAAAAGGATTCGAAAGCAGCGAGCGGGTGGGGGAGTTTGTGTGTTGTTATTGTTTTTCCCATAGTTAATGACTAGACTTGCCTATTGTTCTGTGCCACTGTACATGCTCCCTTATCTTCCTTCCTCTCTCTCTCTCTTTCTTTGTTGTTTACTTTAGCATTGAACGTTGATAGTGCACCTTTTTTTTCCCCCATGGTACTAACAATGCGGTATGTCACTCACTACGACTATTTTAGTCCCATACCCAAACTTAAATCCACCTAGTTCTCCCCAAGTCTTAGCCCCCCCCCCCCAAAGCAACTAGGTATAACTACGGATAAATGGACTACCCATTCGTCCGTCCATTTTTACGCCTTTGCTCCCTTTCCTCATCAAACACTCTGTTAGCTTCCCCCCCCCCTTCTCCATCCTCCGTCCTCCGCCCTCCGTCCCCGCGGACCACACACACACACACACACGTGACTATTGTGTACTATATACCCGTGATTTGGAATTTCGGTATCAAAGGGCATTCATAGCCGTAAGGGATATGGGGATAAAAAGGCGCGATAACCATGGCATTCATTAAATGATGATGATGATTATGGTGATGCTGACAATCGAGGTCGTGTATTATGCAACATGGTACAGGGGACTAAACGGGAGGAAGCAGAGTAGAGTAGGGGAGGGGAATGACGTGGGGTTCTTTTGGTGGGGTTGCAAGGGGGGGGAGGGAAAGGGACGGAATTTTTTTTTTGCTCGTGGGTGGTCGCGGGCAAACGTGACAAGGTAAAGCGAGAGAGGCAAGGGCACAGGGCATGTTGTTAGCAAGGAGGGCAAGGACAGGGGTGGTAGAGGGGGGGGGGGGGTTTGGGACAGATCGAAGCAAAATGGTCTGCAGCAGTCGCGGTGACTGGGCTGGGGGGGCTTTTTTTTTTGCACCAACCAAGATGCCTGTGGGTGCGTGGGTACTGTGTAGATTGGACTAGGAGGGTATATCGGTGTGTACACAGTAGTGTATGTACAGTTTGATATTAAAAGCTGATGGAGTAGAAATTGGGCTAGGCAGCGAAAGGTGGTGTTTTTTTTGGGTTTTGCCTGGCTTGCGCGCTAGAGTGTGAAGTGAGCAGCTGAATGGGCTTTGCATTTGCATTTGCATTTGCACTTGCACTTGCCTTGAACATGTCCTGTCTGTGCCTGCGTGCCTGCCCGATAATGTATAATAGTGAGTATATTACAATATCAGAGCCCTCATTCGCTGGGCCGGGTTTACTTGCGGCTTTTTTTCTTGGACCATGTTTTTTTTGCCCTGGTTTCTTGGCACAACGAGAGACGGGGCCTGTGTGTCGGTATAGCAAAAGATACGTATACGAGTACGGTTTGCTTGATTCAGGGCTAGTGGGAAGCTTGAAGTTTAATCTCCACCTTTTGTGATGATATCGACATAGCATTCTATAATTGTAAGTAGTATAGTATATTTCACATATCCATATCCATATATATGGATATATATAGTTATATTCTATCGGTACTACAAAGGCACCGTCAGGGCAGGTTGGGGCCGTGTCGGAAATTGCAAAAGGCTGGTTTGGGAAACCAGCACGTCAACTGCGAGCGGGGGCAAGTCCCATTGTCAATAGCAAAGGATTTTATGGCAAAGGTTTCAGGAGTGTGCGCTCTGGATTGCCAGAAAAAAAGGGCCTGGCCCAGTAGAGCCCCCGTGTGGACCTTTTTTGTCGGGGCTCTGGCCAGTCAGTTACTTGGTTTGTTCACAGTGGCAGAGACGGTCCGCGGGCGGCGATCTGGGTGAGTGAGACAAAGTGGAGAAGGGTCGATAGTGGCCATGGCACGGCAGATGGAATATGACGTTTGGTGCCGTGGGCAGCAGACATGTGACGGGCAGATGTTGGTGTGCAGGAGGACAAGAAGGGGTCCTGCAGGTGTGTCCGCAAAGGTCGGGCGGTGTTTGCTTTTCTCGGAGGTGGAGTTGCTTGTTTAGGGACCGGTGTGGAGGGAATTGGGTGTGTGATGTTGTTGTGGTTGTTGTGGTTGTGGTCGTGGTCGTGGTCGTGGTTGCTGCTGTGGGTAGTGCAGGTCCAAGCGCTTGGAGAAGAGGGAAGGCACGCTGCACGCAGCACGGAGGGCAAGAGCAAGAAGGGCTGACCCTGTCGACGACACGTGGGGCTGAGTGTGCCGCAGCCGCGGAATTGGAGTGCTCCGACTTGTAACTAACTACCCAACCCACTAACTATTCCATCACACATGCACACCATCCATTCACCCACACGATGACCCTTCTCACACACACCGACTGTGACGTGCTTCATGTGGCGACGCCATGCGCCCGCCTCTTCTGCCGTAGCAGCACCACCAGCACCAGCATCAGCACCAGTAGTGGCAGGCTTCCAGGCTGGGCCGGCCGCTCGGTCGCTGGGGTCATGCAAGATGGGCACCATCAGCACAGGGTGCTTGTCGAGCCCGTCAGACGCTGCACACTGACTGCATGCTGCAAATGACAATGCCGTGTCCATGATGCGTGGCGCACGGCACTCGACCACTCAGGGGCCGGCCGGAGCGGCCATTGCGGCATCCGCTGCCCGTCCGCTTCCGGCCTAGCACCACAACGTGACATTGGACGTCTGCTCTCTCGTTCTGCTTGTCGCTCTTTGTCCCTGGTTGGTAGTCAGCCAGACCAAGGCCCATGACGATATCTCACCCTAGCCTCGCCATGGTCTGCCAACACTAACCAACTAACCAAGTATACTCGACGACTGATATACTCTATTCACGCTGCCTCTGCTCCAGACGTTCTACTCGACCCGGCCCTGGCCTGCCGTGCAAATTGCACTAGCCCGACCAGAGTGGGCAATTCAGAATCCTCCTCATCATGCCACTTGGTTCCCGCCGCATGCCTACATACAGGTACATATGTACCTACTACTTACACTATGACCCTTCTACACAAGCACACTAGGCCTACACACATACCAAGAATCCCACCTGCACCACTTTCCACTCTGACGCCCGTCACGGGACGGCGTTCCGGGCTAGAGTTCACGTCTGTCTAGCACTAGGTAAGCATGGATCTAATCATCATCATCATCATCATCGTGTATGTGTATGTACACACTATGTGCCAGTAAAAGCGCTGCGAGTGGCTAGTTGTTGGCACTGCTCTGCCACCTTCTCGAAGCAGCCCTCCTTCTCCCGCCCGCGCGCGCCCGCCCTGGTTGAGTCAGGCCCGGTGGCTCCAATATCCACCCGTCTTTTTATAACCACGCACATTGATGAGGCTTGAAAGTCTAAAGGCCGTCCGCCGGGCAATTGCTCTGCACTGCATCGGCCCAATCCCCACTTCAGGCCAGCAGTGGGGGGTCCACGCCAAAGAGAAAAGGGCCCATGGCATGCATCCTTAGTAGCCACTTACCTACTTACCTCCATGTACAATGCCTGTCCATACCCAACCATACAGCCTTACCTACTAGTATACAAACGGTCAATACGTACATATGTACATGTCTGCATCTCGACCTACATACATGCCCAGTCCATGTCCGTCCATCCACCCATCCATCCATCCAGCCATTGTCCATCCACACGCACTGTGACAACGACCTCGACCTGCAGCACGCGTCGCAATCGCTGCGACGCCACTCACCCACGGCTGATTTGGGCAATGGATGGATGGATGGATGGATGGGGGAGGGGGCAGCTGGGAGAGAGAGAGGGGGGGGCCTTTTGGTGCGGGCCCCACCATGCCGCCCTCACCACCCTGATGGTGGGATTGGGATTTGGGGCTGGCGCATATCATGTCCGCCTTGGTGCTGTGTCGTGCCCTTGGCTCGATCCGTCTGCTGCAAAGGCGATCCTCGACCCTCTTGGATTTGCAATTGCTCCATAGCACGCTCCATGGCTCCATGGCTTGATTACCCACGCCGCCCACCGCCCCGCCCACACTCCTCTAGCAGCAGCCAGCATCCGTCACAGCAGCCGTAGCAGCAGCGGCGCGCTGCACGCCTAACAAAAAAATGCCCTGCTCTAGCCGTAGCCCACAAGCTGACAGGCGGGGATCATCGCCGGGGATGTGTCAAAATGGGCCGCATCTGATGAACTGTACTTAAGATACTCCCTCGTACATGGGCCTACTTATTGCTCGGAGCGGGCAGACCCCTTGGTTGCTCCGTCGGTGGTTGCTCTGCTCATGGTTGCCCTCCCCTGCCATCCCCTCCCCCCCCAGACTTGAGGTGGCTGCTGTCGGTGGGTGGTCCTGTTCGCACGGCCTGAGAATGGCCCAGAGCGATCAGTCCTGGGATTCCAGCGCTGCGCGGAAAGCGGAAGCGTTTGTGTGCACGGCCCATAGCGGCCTGGAGACAGCGCAGTGGGCTTGGGGCTTGCTTTTTCCCCTTCACTGCACCCCGGCTTCTCAGATGCGGACGTTTGATGAACCTCAGACTATCCCTTCCTGGGCATACACCATTGCTTCTTCCCAGGACTAGACACACGCCTCTGCTCTCGCTCGGGCCGGCTCTCTCGTCTGCCTGTCTCTCTGTCCACCGACCTCGCCCTCTTTGCTCTAGCTCCGACCTCTCTGTCTCTTTTTTTCCCCAATTTCTCATACCATCTTTCTCAGTTTATCGCTCTTGCACAACCTTGAACCTGCGCCCCCCCCCCCCCCTGCTGTGCTTCCTCTCTACCAACACTCATCACTTTCTTCCCCCTGTTTTTCTCCCACCCCACCATCCCCCCTCGGCCCCCC